TTTTGATCATAGAGTATCTTTTTCAAAAAATTGTCCCAAATAATTATATATCCAAACACAGTTGTTACCACTACTTTCTTAAATACACTCAAGGGAAATATCCTTGAGCTCCGAAAAAAAGTAAAAATCGAAATAGAAATTAGACCAAAGGTGAGCACGTTTGAATAGCAAATTATTTATACAAATTTATTTGTTTTGATCATACAGTATCTTTTTCAGAAAATTGTCCCCAAATTTATTTATCCAAACACATCTGTTACTACTACTTTCTGCCAAAGGGAAATATCCTCAAGCTTCGAAAAATGGTAAAAATTGAAATAGAAAATAGACCAAAGGCGAGTACGTTTGAATAACAAATTATTTATACAAATTTATCTGTTTTGATGATACACTATCTTTTTCAAAAAATTGTTCCAAAATTTTTTTATCCAAACACATACGTTACTACTGCTTTCTGAAATACGCCAAAGGGAACTATCCTCAGGCTCCAAAAAATGCTCAAAAAAGGTCCCACCGAGATTTGAACTCGGGTTACTGGATTCAGAGTCCAATGTCCTGACCACTAGACCATGGGACCACTTGATGGCGTAACTTGTGAGCTTCCCTTCCTATAAATTGACAACTCCAACAACTCACCAAAGAAATTACCGTTAACTTTTTTAGTGAAACTTGGAGACCAAGAAAAATATCCGGAGAATATAGGAAATTAATGACAGCTATTAGCAGTTATTGAAACTTATGCGAATAACCAATCACTTTCCTTCAAAATCATGCAAAATTTGCATGACACAAATTGCATGAAAATGCAAAAAAAAAAAAAAAAATCATAATTCTTGCCAGCAAAACATACGTAAAAGAAAAAAATAATTAACTTTCCTTTACTTATCCACATTTTTCCCTATAAAGTATAAACAAATACTACCTTAATGAGGTTGCACTTTTAGACTCATCTTGATTTGTTTCTAGTCGGAACAACGTTTTTAAATTTTTAAAAGTTGCCTCATTATTCTGATTCTTATCAACAAACTTCAACATTGTTTTGTGCAGCAAATTATTAGCGCATAAAGATTTTTTTTAAAAAAACAAAATTGGCATCCACTTTTTCTTTTGGAGTACAAGGAAAACAAAGTAGTATTTAAACTCCACTATTTTGACGGCGTGTATCACAATCAAATGAAAGATAGTTATTGACATTGAGCTTCCATATGCTCACTAAACGTGTGTTTGATAAAACTGAACTTGAAAACTAAAATCTAGAACCTGAAAATTAAAAATTAAAATTTGAATTCATTAATTTATTAAATTATTAAATATTAAATCAGATATGTTTGAGTGTATATTACATTCAGAGATAAGTAAATGTCTTATCACTTATTTTTTGAAATAAATTTTGTTTAAAAAGTTCAGTGCCATTTAATTAATTCAAATATTCAAGTTTTGATTATCAAACGCGTTTGAACATATTAAGATGTGAATCCATTAAATTTAAGTGCTGAATTGAATTATCAAACAGACTCTAACACTTCCGAATTTCATTTAAGTCCGACTCTAAGGCAAACCTAGCATGTTAGTTTAGAATTTTATCCAAGAAGATTAACCTTACCATTTACTTAACGTGTGCTTAAGCCCTTGTGTAAGTAAGCATTTCCTATGTTTTGCGTCCACTGCGATTAAGTTTATTTACACAAATACAACCAAGAATTTCAAAACCTAATTTATGACTGTTTGAGAACCCCCAATTTTTATTTCTTATCCCTACAAGTTACATACGATTCTGCTGGCATTAGAATCTTATTTAAATAATTTTGTGCCCAAAACTTAGAAAAACCTAACCTTTTCTTTTTTAAAAATGTTTGCATGGACAAGTTATTGCAAGATTAGAATTCTGGTTAGACACAAGGGTTTACCATTTCAGTAGCCATTCCTGAACCTCAACACCCAAAGCAGCCGCTAATCAACCATTGCCGCCACCGCCGCAGCTGATGACGCTGATATAAACCCCTTCACGTCCATAATGCTGCTCACCCTTCTTATCAACCACCAGAACCAGAAGCTAGCAGAAGAAAAAACCACCAGAATCAGAACCCATCATCCAAAGCCGCAATAACTAGTCAACAACTTCTTGACCAAAATAACGACTACCTCCGTTCCATCTATCAACGGATCCCACATACTCATCCGACGACTGCCTTCTCAAGGCCTCTTCTTTTCAGCTCTGGCCTTTCACAACCAGTCGCTCATCCTCCTCGATACCCACTCTCTCATCAAAGACACAAGGGCTCCGGCACTGTTCCTGTGGTTTAGTTTATGAAAAACATAGTATATCATGCATCAAATTTAGTACAAGTAATTGAAGTTTCTTTTTTGAGTATAGTTACGTCAATCCCGAAATTATTTCTGGAGTATGGGAAAAATGTGAAAGTGTGTAGGCAGGATAGGAACACTCCAAAGTTTTATGTTAGGACGTCATTTAAAGCTTTTGTTACGCAGGCTGTCTTAAGATTATTGTCATTCTTGTGCCTTATATATTTAATTTTTTTTTTTCAAGAGCTTATACGACAATGCAAGTAATTTTCTTCAAGCTGATGATTCTTTGAGTCGTGGCACGCTGTTTTTTTTCCAGATTTGGCCAGTAACTGGGCCACTCTTAGCTGACATGAAGCCGTGGTGACTGGACTACCTAGGCCCATGAACGACGGTACAACATTTAGCAGCGTCAAATCCGATAACGTTCTATCGGAAAATCATGACCTCCATTCATCTCTCAGATCTTTGGGGAAATGCCAAAATGCTGAGGTTGTGTTTGGATTGTAATTTTCATGATTTTTCATGAAAAAATTACTGTAGCGATTTGACGTATGTGAGGGAAAAAGGTAATAGGGAAATGTAATCACGAAAAATAATGTAATTTTTCAACGAAAAGTTGCAATCCAAACAAGGTCTAAGCATATCTAAGTGGAAATGTCAACAGATTTATAATTAGTGATCTCCAGCACAAAACGACACAAATAGTTCTTTACAAATAGATATATAATCCTACGCTTTCAAAATAATGCAAATTAATCTCTTATATAAGTAAATCGCACCATTTTAGTCCTAAAAATCCATTTCAGACTACTTTTTGGCTTAAAAAAAAAAAAAAAAACCTCACGTGCCCATTATATATTAGATATTTCAAGGACAAAAAACTTGCGTAGCCTTTTAATGTCCCTGTTTAAGCACTGATAGAATTAAATGATTAAATGAGACAACACTTTTTTTTAAGAAAATAAAAAAATAAATTAGCACACAAAAGTCTCTATTCTATATAAAATAATTCAACAAAGAGACTTGCAAATTGCTCTAGACGTATTTAAATTCAAAATCATCTTAATTAATAACAACAATAAAGAAGGCTAAGTAGCAATTGTTACCTTTGTCCTTGCACTTGTAGTTATGTGGTGTTCATGTCATAAATGTTTTTAGGGCAAAACGTCTTCTAAAATGGGTATTGGGAGTAAACCGGGGCAATCCGTATAAGTGAGGGACTAAATAACTCAAATGCAATGTACAAAAGCATTCGTATCGTTTTCCTTATTGATCTCTAATTCACATTCTGAAATTAGTAGTATCATTAGTTCATTCAAAAGACTTTAGGTTCGAGTTCCATATCTTTCTTGATCTCAACTGAGATAAAGATTGCTGAGTCGAAGCTGATGTGTCTGCAAAGCCACTGAATTTAATTGACACTGAATTTGACACCTAATAGTAGCATAGAGAATTTCAACTGGTTTGCAAAGCCACTCTTGACTCTCACACAAGAATTATTCAACATAGTCATACACGAAAGCATATTATTTACTCTTTGATCATGCTACTAATTTTTGAACAACTGTAGAATACAAACAACTTTGTAAATATGGAGGACCACTTACTTATTTTGTGTATATGTCATTGTATCAAGAAAAGAGTACTAGACCATTTTTCATTTTACTGAATAATTACAACAGATTTAGGGATGGTCGCATAATTAATACATGAGCACCATAAAAAATGGAATGAATTTTAGCCAATCAAAGTTTCTAGGTTTATCTTTTCTCCCAAATGCAAGGAAAAAGATAAACTCGAAAACTATCGGTGGATGCTTATAATTAATGCACGCAGATCTGATATTTCCCTCGTGCATGGTCTTTATTTTATGTAGCTAGATGGTACTCCTATTAGAATGCTTAAAACTTTTTATCGCGTAATGACTTCTTGAAAAACAGTTGAGCATGTTTACCAAATTTATCAAAGGATAGACATTCACATCGGAACAAAACAAATTAAACCCTCCACCAATACACTTTTTATTAATTGTCGTTTGTAAGTTTGTTGTCTTCTCGACTGGTTTTCCACGCATTATTTTCTTTTCGAATTTCATCAATTAACTTGATGCAGCAGGAAGAAGAGCGCTTGATTTCTCTTTTTTTTTCCACCCTAATTTTTTGGTTTCTTAGTACATAATATTCTCTATGGCATTATGCTTGATCAATCCCACATCACATCAGTTTTCAGTTTTAACAAGACGGACAGCCTTGTCGCAGCCAATTTCCCTTTCTTGTTCTCCTCGTCAATGCAGGCCATATACCCTTCTACATCCTCTACCACATTTCTCGTAAAGTAGACAAATCAACGAGCCCTGAGCAAGCAATTATTAGTACTTAATTGACAACTCCTATTGGATCATGAAAGTTACCAGTTACTACTGATACAAAATCCGGTGTTAGCAGAAATCAGAAGTTAATGTAGTAGTACGACTGGTGGAAGGAGATTGGTGCAGTCAGCAGTTTTGATCATCACAATCAAGAAAAAGGTGCCAAGAAGCAGCCCGACTGCCAGAAAAAGTAGTAGTAGGAGGAAATAATATCATATATATTTATAGGTGAGTTATCAAAAGTGAAAAAGCAAAAGATCAACTGAGCAAAAAAAAAAAAAAAAGCAGCTAAAAACATAGGATTAACTCATTTTTCACTCCATCTCTCTCACTCTCTCGGTCTAAGATGGACAAAAAAGAAAAACAGCTGAAAGGAAAGAATTTCGTGATCCATAGCTTTCACCACATCGCCATCACCAGCACACCACCCATGCCACGTAATCATATGGAGTTTGGAGGAGGCTTTGATCGATCATTTTCTTCCTTGATTTCAAACGTCTATTTTGAACCTTTCTTTCTCTCTTTTCTGGCTTTTTTCATCTGGTGAAGTCATGAACAAGACTTGGCCTATCTGTAACGTTGAGACGCCAAGAAAGGAATGGAACGCCATTATCAGAGTCACGGTCATCATCGTCAATGAACCTGAATTCATTCCCATAAGCCGATGAAAGATACGGCATTTTCTGAGTCTGCGAGTGATGAACCCATGAACTGTTTAGCATGTGTTGAGAGTCCGCTCCGCCGGGCACACCATTAGTCCCACTGGTCGCAGCTGCAGCGGATGCCCTCCTCTCTTCCTTCTTAAAGCGAATTCCACAGGCATTACAAAGCGACTGCATTCCACCAACACCATCACTTTTAGCCTCCAGAAAGTTCAAAATAAACAAACAAATAAAAACTAATCGTCCATTTTCACCCTGGTAGTAATACAAAATATATGATTGCTTGATTAATGCCAAAATGGGAAAAAAAAAATGGCATCTCATCACAACCATTAAATAAAGTCTCCATATTGAAAGAGAAAATAAACATGCTAGTTAGTCCGTTTTTCACCCTTTAAAGAAACAAAACGAATGGTAATTCTTTTTTTAAACTGGTCATTACCTTGGGTCCTTTTGGGCCGTTTCTCCAGAGAGGCGTAGAAGTGGTGTCACAGTTGGCGCAGCGTCGAGCTAGGAGGCCACCGCCACCACCAGTGTTGGAGTTGGTGTGACTGTTTGCGCGGCTACTTTTGTGGGACGAATGATGGGGAGAATTGGACGAATGTTTGGACTGTAAAATATCCCAGCAGAAGTTAGACATGTAAGAAGAGCGTCTTTTTTCGGTGTCGTTATTGGTTAGACGAGTAGAAGGGGTGCCCAAGGAAAGAGTGCAATCGACAGAGGAAGACGGCGGAGATGATGCGAAGGAATACATTTCAGCCGTTTCATCGAAGGGTTTATTGTGATGGTTAGGCATGGAGAAGAGCATGGAGAAGGAATTGGCTTGATGAGTGTGGAACATCCCACATGAACATGGCCCAGCCATGTTTCCATGAGAACCACCATTGCACCTATTACCGTGCATCATCGTTTGTTTTCTTTCTTCTCTCTTTTCTTGCTGCTGCTTCAATCTTTGGATGGATGAACAATCTCTCCAACTGGTCTTTGAATTTATAGGGCTAAGACAAAAGAATGAAAGAAATACTCTACTAACTATGGGTTTTGTGAGAATGAGGTGAAAAAAGGGTTGGAAATTGGGAGGGTTAATAATACTGCAGGTCAAGTTTGGAAAACGTTACTAAAGGCAGGGGCGGTACAAGTACGAGCACACACACACATTGGTCTCTGGGAACGCATATGCACGCTTATTATTGTGCCTACTACCAGCTAGTAGTAAAATAAGTACACTAACAAGGAACTTTTGCACTGCGATACGATGATGATGATGGTATGTGGGCCGTCGGATTTTGTGGGACCGCCTCGGCTGGACCAAGTTTCCAAATACTGCATGCATATCCTATCATGTCATCTATCTCCTGCTTAACACTAACCCGAAAAGAATCAATCATTAGCATTAATCCACGTTCCACGTGGAGTTCAACCAAGTGATTTCCCCCCTTCCTTGCATGCATGCATGCATGTATGCATTGCGATGCAATTTGTATCGAGAAGCTGAGAACTTTATGGCAGTAGTACGTACACAAACGACGCAAGCCAAGAACATATTGAAGTCTTGGGAAAAAAAATTTTGAGAAATGAAAAATCAAGAACATTCCTCAAAAGCAACGAGATACAACTGGAATGGATCGCACTTCTCTTCTCTCTCTCTCTCTCTGTCCCTCTTTCTGGCTTTCCTTCTCCAGAGGGGAAAAAAAATTAAAAACAGAAAAAGAGGGATGTATAGTTTGGGATTGGTCTAGTTATGTTCTTGTTTGCAGGATCTACTTTTTTCCAGGTAACGTAAAAAGAAGCAGTAGTAGTTGTAGTATCTATAAGGTTTCTGGATGGAGTAAAGGAAAAGTAAGGAAAAGGGGAAGGGATGAGCAGAAGAAACCCCTAATGAGCCGACCTACCTATGGAATGGAAATTGGAAAGTTGGGTTCTGGTCAAACAACAAACTACATCTAAAGAATAAACTGTAACCTCGAATTGTCTCCTCTTAGGAGGTCTAGTCTTGTGGCCAAAGGAAGCTTAGATTTCTTCCCAACCCTTTAATTATTGTATTGCACCTATCTCCTTTTGTTTCCTCTTCTTTTAGTTTCTCTTCTTTTGAATGTAATCATCAATGCTCGCTTCAGCCAAAGAGTTGGCTTGGTCATGTATGCACTCGAGATCGTGGAGGAATTTTTTTTTTTGGTTTTGGGGGACCAAAAACTACCGTCATTTCTTCAAGCTAGTGTCCACCAAGGATATTGCAATTTCAGACATTAGAAGGGACGTTAGTTGTAACTTATGAAAAACTTACCACGAAGTCATATTTGTGTTTTTGCTTTTTTTAAGGGTTATTTTGTGAATTCTATCTTGTCTTAAAAACATATAGCTCTGTTTGGATGGGAGTGTTTTTCAAATACAATAAAAATTTTTAAAAAGTATTCTACAAGGTAATCTAAAAATTAGTTTAAATTTTTTAAAAATTTCAAAAAATATTTCAAAATATATTCTAGAAACTCTTTTACTCTTAAATATCCCAAAATATTTTCTAAAAATATCTCAAAATATAATCTAAAAACTCTGCTACAGCAAAATTTTTCAAAAATATCCCAAAAATAGCTAATCCAACTATATTCAGATTAAACAGCACCTTGAAAATACGTAACTTTTTTTTATTTCTTTTTGGGCATAATGCTAATAAAGAGTAGTTTTTGTTTGAACAAAAAATAATCATAACAATCTCTGAAAATAATTAATGCTGTTAGCTTATAACTTATAGCAAGTCGCAATTTCTTGGTAACACTGGAGATTCATAAAATGACAATCCTGATACAAAATTCGATATCCTAAAGCCAGGATTGTAGCTCCGGCTCATCAATTTTTAAATAAGCATATCAGTCCCTAAAAAAGGAGGAAGTGAATGTGCCTAATGATCAGGTTTCGGAGTTTGAAGAAAATCTCCTTCTTATTAGAGATTGTGGTGCTGATGTCGTTTGGAACCCTATGGCCTATGCCATGCTATCATCACAACTTTGGTTTCTTCAACACATGATGAATGAGTTGAATGGATAGTTGAATTCCAGCTCATTCAGCATAAGTTTCGTAACGGACTGCATTTGGGTCCAAAAGTGGATTAGCAAGTACCGAGGCGATACAAAAATAAACAGAATGGGCTAGAGTCTTTGGGCCTAAATTTGCCTAATCAAATTTGCCTAGAGTCTATGCTCCATTCTTCCTTACGGGTTAATTTCGGAAACCTCACCTGAGGTTTTTGACAATTTCACTAGCTTCCTCTAAAGTTTTTAAAATTATACAAACCTCCCCTAAGGTTAAGGTTTTGATAACAAAATTAATCCAATTAGAAAAAATAACATTAAAAAAGTACTTTAAGAAGAAAGATGAAACTTTTATTCTATATATATCCCTCGTGCATGTATATAAGTTGTATTGGTAAAAGAATAAAAAATTTTTGAATTTTGTCTTTCTTTTCTCTCCACTCTCATTTACTAATATACAACGATTAAGTAATTAGAGCACTAATTAACTATTAGTAACTAATTAACGAAAATAACTATTGAAAATTTCTTTAGTGATGAATGATGATTTGTATTTATAAAATAACATTAATTGATTACCTAATGGAGGAAGGAGGGAAAAAAAGGCAAAATTTGAAAAGTTGCCTGTTCAAATAATAAGAATCATAGCAAACATCATGTTAAAAGAGATTACTTATCTGTTTTGCTGAATCTTGTGATCATTAGGATAGTTTTACTGCTTATTTGTATTGTCTAATTTATTAAATGTGAACTTTTTGAATGGTGAAATGCTGTATTAATTGTTTATAACTTTTAATTAATTTTGGTTTTTTACTAATACAACTTATATGCATGTATAAGGGGTATTTATGAAATCAAAGTTTCGTCCTTCTCTTTAAAGTACTTTTTTAATGTTACTTTTTTTTAATTACACTAATTTTGTTGTCAAAACCTTAATCTCAGAAGGGTTTGTATAATTTTATAAATTTCAAAGGAGGCTAGTGGAACTATTAGAAACCTTAGAGGAGGTTTCTGAAATTATCCCCTTCCTTACAATCCTCTTGTGGGAAACATACTTAGTTCATATATTGTGCACAACAAATTTAACGATGGATATCATCAGCAAGGGTGGAGCTAAGACCCCAAATTTTAGCACAATAAAATTTATTTTAAAAAATAAAACTACTGATATTATATACAGATTATAATTGTACCCTATAAGTACTCTTTGTTTTTTTAAATGTTGCAAAATGAATTCATTATTAATTTTGTTAAATATATCTTTTTCAATGTAAGTAACTAAAGCTTTTGATTTTTTTAAAATAATTTGCGAATCACCATCAACTTGATTTTCTACAGGTTTCTTTTAATAAAATTTATCTTTACCCTATTATAAATAAAAACATAATAATTTAATTTCATATTATAAATAAAAAATTTACCATCCACTTCAATAATTCTTGTTTTTGAAAACTTTGAAGTTTGAAAAAAATGATTTAAAGAATTGATTTTCTTACTCCACTCAAGAAAGTTCATCCCTCATGTTTGGACATTTTAGATGAATTTATTCCTGAACTAACTTCTGTAGATAATTTGAAATAAATTCAAAATTATTGTGATGGTAAAAATTATGAATTTTCAATTTTTTGGGGTCAATGTATATAGGAAAGAAATTTTGATAAAATATAATAGGGTCAAATAAGATGTAACTTTAAAATTTTCCAAATTTTCTAAGTCTAAGAACTAATTTTTCAAAGTTAAGTGAGGTCAATTGACCCACTTGCTTCTATGTGGCAGCGTGCATTTAGGTGTCAATTTTTATTGTATGGTTTATACTAGCGCTGTAAACGAATCGAGTCGAGTCGAGTTTTGGTCTAATCGAGCCGAGCCTTGACTTAATTTTAGTGAATTCGAACTCAAGCTCTACGAGCCGACAATTTCAAGCTCGAGCTCCAAAAAAATAAAAAATAATTATTAGTTCGAACTCGATTTCGACTCGAGTCGCTCGATTTGTTTGCAGCCCTAGTTTATACCTTTCACCCCTCTAACTCTTGCACCTTTTTTTATTCTCAATTGTTCGGCATAAAATTTGAATCCTGAATTTGATAGTAACGAAGGCTCTCTATAAAGTTCATCTTAAATTCCTTTGAAAAGAAAATTCTAAGAAGATCATCTTAAATTTACTACCTTTTATCAACGACCATTCGCAGCCAATGCTACTAAAACAGCAGACGATTCTCAAATGTTTTCTAAATAAGCAACTAGCTCGTCCCATACCTTCTCCCGACTTGGCCTACATCAATTCCACGCAATAATTAAGAACTGCTCACCAATCACAAAAGAAAAGTAGAAAGAGACAAATACTCCTAATAATAAACTTTAGTGGTGAATAATTTACTCGGTAAAACAAAAAACTAATCCAAAGTCGATTTGTAGCCTCTAGTCAAGAATAAGAAATTCAGCAGAAGAAAACCATTTTGTTTTACAGAATTTTGTCCCTCACATTGGAACAACCACATGAACAAAGAAAAAAAAGAAAAAAGGGAAAACAAAGAAAAAAAGGGCTGCTTTAGATTGGAACGAAACGGTGTGCTCACAGAATGCAAATGTCTTAAATAATCCAAACTCTCTGTTATTACATGTGAACTGAAACGGTGTCATATCGGTCGTCAGGAATTAGGTTAGCCAACCTTAACCGGAAAAATGTCGGTAACCGTAGTTGATCCACTTAAATCAAACAAATCAAAGCCGTAAACCAGTTACCAACTCATTCGCGATTTGATTACCCGAAGGCCAATCACCAAAAAAGAAAAGAAAAAAAAAAAGGGTTCAACATTTGGTTAAATCTTTCACTAATTACGTACGGTGGATCTAAACCTCTAGAAGCCCATGTCGGAAAGTTCTCAGGACAAAACAGTACCTCGAATTGGCTCCATCAAGAGTAGTCCATACTCCATGGCATATGCAATTTAGGGTGGAATGAAGTTGGCAGTGTGGTTGATCTAATTAAACTTCAAACAGACCTTCCACAACGAATTCAAATTATTTAATACTAATTAAGAATAGTTAACAGTGACCGTACACATAGTCACAGACAACAAACTAAGATTTCGTGCAAGAAATTGTTCAATCAAAAAGACTTTTTTAGCCATGTGGCCCAGCAATTTTGTCACATGACTTTCTTAAAGCTAAAGCAGCTTAAAATTATGGAACAAACTAATCCCTTTTCTATTTGTCCAGTGTACAAGTAACATCCCAAATGTTAATGCAGAGATGGGATGTGTAGTCGTAGTATTCAGCGTTGAGGCAGTAAAATCCACGTCCACGAGTTTCATGAAATATCTATAAGCTGCCTGCAGAAGAAAACGGTGAAATAAACTGCACGAAACCGAGATATCGATGTTCAAAGGGCGATCGACTGAAACAGCACGCAAAACTTCATTTTACTTGTGTGTGTTGCAGAATTGGTTCTTGCAGACCATTCAGTTTATGGATGACGCAGAATATGTAAGAATCAGAAAGATTAAGCGTGTAACTAAATTTTGAATATGCAGTCGCACTAATTTAACGTCATATAATTCGAACATACGGTTGATAAGCGATAGAGAAAAGCCACAACCATTCACAGATTAATTCCTTGGGCTTTATATTTTCAACTTTAGACGTTAATGGGGTAGAGTACGCAGTTCCAAACAGGTAGAGATACAGGGAACCGAGTGTCTCAACTCGTCATCGCCATTTTGCATTATGTGATATGGCGCCCACAAATCAACCGCAGCAACTGATAACAACCCGGCACCAAACCAGCCTTGTCTAATACTCTGACGTCTTCCCTCCTCCGTCTTAAGTTTAAAACCCACCGCTAGCTGCCTGCTATGATCGCTCCCCAAGCTAAAGCCATCGACCTCCCTCTCCCCATCTCTCTCTCCCTCTCTGTCACACACACACACACTAACACACGCTCACGCACACGCAGCGCCACTAAATTAAGATGGTTAACCTTGTAGCAATCCAAAAGCCAATGTTGCATGGCCTAATGAAAATGGCTGGAGTTGTACCTCAAACTATAGAAATCGAGTCAGGCACGGTGATGAACTTTTGGGTTCCAACTGAAACCGTCCCAAAACAGAAAAAGTCCAAAAAACCCACTAGCTCCAACAACGTGGACGAAATCAACCTTAATCACAACATCCTCAAACCTAAAACTGCGAAGCCAGTAGTAGTATTAGTCCACGGCTTTGCAACTGAAGGGGTCGTCACTTGGCAATTTCAAGTGGGTGCTTTAACGAAGAAGTATTCGGTTTATATCCCCGACCTACTCTTCTTCGGCGGTTCAATCACTGATAGCTCGGACCGGTCACCGACTTTCCAGGCCGAGTGTTTGGCTAAGGGGCTTGCGAAGCTGGGGATTGAGAAATGTACGGTGGTGGGATTTAGCTATGGTGGTATGGTGGCATTTAAGATGGCTGAGTTGTACCCGGACTTGGTTCAGGCGATGGTGATTTCGGGCTCCATTTTGGCCATGACTGATTCCATTAGTACCACAGCGTTGAATGAGTTGGGGTTTTCTTCTTCTTCTGAGCTGCTGCTGCCAACTTCTGTTAAGGGTTTAAAGGCACTTCTCAAAGTGGCTGTTCACAAGAAGCTTTGGTTCCCCGATCGGCTTCACAAAGACTTTCTTGAGGTTAGTTGAATCAATACATTTTTGCATGCAAAAATCATTTTTCTAACTTTTTTGTTTTCTGAGCATTTTGTTCTTGAATTTTGAATTGCATGGCAAATTAACCTATTTTTTTTTTTCTCCTCTTTTGTTTTTGGTGAAAACTGGGGCTGACTTTGCTTGATAACAATTGATCATAATACGTTAGTGGTGATGATAATTTGATCTAGCAATTAAAGTTGATATTTCAAAGTTTAGAGGTTTAAGTTTAAAATTCTTATCCCATCTCCACACCTTCCCTGCTTATGGTTATCAGGGGACAACAGAAGAAATTTTCAAAGGGATGGGTTTGTGGGTTTGTTCGTATAAAAGAAAAACCTTGGTGGAGCCGAGCAACTAGTCAATAGCTTCATATAATGGGTTTCCGTACAATCTGAAGAAAAATACACTGGCGGTGGAACTGTCCAAAAGAAATGAGTCTCTTGTTAACTCTCTTTCAAAGTTGTACATAATAAAAAATTTCAAGAAGAAGATGGGGCTGGTTACCTACTACTACCTCTGCGTAATAAAGAAGACCATTCACAAAATTATTTGTTTTCTCAAACTGTAGGGTAGACTGAGGTGACGCAGGAAATGAGGAGGTAAATTTGACATTCTATACAAAAAAAAAATGGTAAAATCTTGAGGAAATGAGGCGCTGCAACCCACCCCTCATTTTGGTAACTAGAAAGTTTAGAAGCCAAATTGATTCAATATACTCACTCCGATGCAGGTTATGTTCAATAACAGAAAGGAAAGAGGAGAACTTCTTGATGGTGTAGTAGTCAGCAACAAGGATGCTACCATCCCCACATTTACACAGGTGACTGATGAATTCTACATGATTGAGGACCGACCACCTTCGCTAATTAATTAATTAATTAATCATGGAAACAAAAGATAAACTGCCTTCTCGCTTGATCATTCCGTGATTAGGACTAATTAACCGTAACATCTTTACCATATGCCTCTCGCAGCAAATACATCTTTTGTGGGGCGAGAATGATCAGATTTTCAAGCTCGAGCTAGCTCAGAACATGAAACAGTAAGTTTCTGGATTAGTTTTCAGTTCATCTCCTGTATCCATCCCTGTATGAAATAGCACATCTCCTTCACTAGGTCTGCTACAAGTCTGACGTCCTTCGCCATGAAACATTTCTTTATGTATATATATTGTTCACTAGGATTATCTATCTGTCTGTTAACAGTTGTACTCCCACACATGGAGTCATTACGATTGACTGCTATACGGACTGATGCTATTTGATTCTATGGTACTATCACTAAGCAGGCAACTGGGAGATATGGCGACGATTCAGGGCATAGGGAAAGCAGGGCACCTGGTTCACCTAGAGCGACCCTGCGTCTACAATAGGTGTCTTAAGAAGTTCCTTGCTTCCCTGAAAGCAGATGAAGCGCAAAAATTCATCTGATTTTCTGAAAGAATTCATCATGTCCTCTTTTTGATTTCCTTCCTTTTGTTAACATTATTATTATTACTGTTTAGTAGTATTTAATTAATTGAATCAAACATGAAATTGGTGTGGTGTGCCCACACTCAGCGGAATTGATTTCCTTGCATCTCCTCTTTGTTCCATTACAGCAACATCTGACACATGGATACCAGAAAGAACAATTAAAAGCAAAGATACTTTTCACACATTTTTATTACTAACAAAAATTTCACTTGGAGGTAGTCGATAGGGGATTCGAGGAAAAGATATCATCTGAACGACCACTGTATTTCCTCCAACGTTCTTCCTTTGGTTTCAGGAACCCAAAGTCTAACAAACACTACTGTGAAAGCTGCTACTAATGCATAAATGGCGAATGTTCCTGTTGAGATCAAATTAAAATATCAGTATACATACGAAATATGCATGTCTCCTTTTCTCTGTGTGTGTGTGTGAGAGAGAGAGAGAGAACCTGCGCTGCTCCATGTCAGTAGCAAGTTTGCCGTCATTGTGACCGCTGATGCTGTGAGCCAATTGAACAATGTTGCGACACTGCCGCCAAGACTTTTGATGTTCACCGGAAGTATCTGCAGTTATCAATTCAAACACTTGAGAGAGGAAAGTTTACAATAACTTTTAACTGTCATTTATGCTTCTCAATTATTTGACCAATATTTTTAGTGCCCATGAAAAAGTTATTCCAGAACTTTCAAACTTCGTTGTTGCTTAAGAAAGTCAGTCATATTGCATTGCCTATCCTTTTCCATTTAACAGGCATTTTGTGATTTAAGAATTTGCCCAGTGCTGCAAAGCCTGTCATCTTTGTCAAGGAAACCTTGTTGAGACTAATAAACCTGCAATAAGGTATTGCAATTTTCACGAAGTGACATGAAGAGGAGATCAAATTAGAAGAACCAAAAATGTTGCGTTTCTTTCAGCAACTAGTCTCCAAAGTCGAATAATACTTCTTTCATTGTATGATGAAAACAGAGTTCATTTCTTTAATTGTAACTTCTTGTTTTCAGCCACAAGATTGACTTAACCATACCTCGGACATTATAACCCATGGGACAGCTCCAAGCCCTAGAGAGAAGCCAATCACCAAAATCTGGATGGATAGTTTGAAAAAAAAAAAAAAACTGAGAAATGCCTGTGAAGTTCACCAAACAATTAACACATGCACATAGAGAGAGAGAGAGAGAGGATGTTAGGGGAGACATACCACAAGACCAACCAATGACAAAATCCCTAATACAGAACGAGAATTTTCAGGTATGAAATCCTGCAGTGGTAAGAAACTTCTGGTTATGGGGAAGAAGGAAATCATATATCATGGTGACACTGAGGTAAAAGATCTAACTTCTCTGTTCAAAAAAGTAGTGAACAAACTAGCAACAGCTACACAAGGAAAGCTTCAACTCTACTTGCCTCCAAATAGAATGCGATCGCAACAAGAAGACAGCTAGCTGTTGTCACTGATGAGGATACCTGCAGAAACAGGTTACAGACTTCAAACTGTGAATTGTTACAATCTAAAAGAGATTATCCCTATAAAAATAACTAATCTTAAATTCATGTGTCATATTTTTAGCTCTACGCACCAAAAGAAGCACCCTGCGACCGGCTTTATCTATCAATGACACAGAAATTCCAGTTGCAACCACCTACATCAATTATGGGAAATTATCAGCAACCACAACCTTTTAAAACTTGAAAACATGTCATGCAATATGCAATAATTCATTACTACCTGAATAGCCCCAAGTCCAAAAGTTGCTGCTTTGCTAGATGAAATTCCTGTGCAGATTTAGATGATATGATCAAATTCTTGACAAAATACATTGTTTTACCAGCTACTGCAAATCCTAATTCCAGTATCAAAAAAATTCTTCTGAACAAGTGTTGCACTAGTTTGGAAATGCTCTCTGATTTTATATATCAAGAGGAAACTATCTGGCTAAGGACCAGCACAGGCTAATAGATGTCAATTTCTCGCTAGTTATTGATATGAATGGTTCGAACTAGCATATACTCTAGTACAACAGGGTGAAGCTTGATTTTTCTGTGACACTAGTTTAAATTTTCTGCATGCATGTCAAATTGCTCGACTTAGCAGGTGTGTCATGAAAAACTGATGGAACACAAGTGGATATAAATAAATGGAAATTACAGGACAATTAAGTCGAAGTTCTTGGATTAAAAACAGACTACCAATACAAATCAGACTAATTTAGCTTAACGTTACCACTTCACTTTTCCATGTCCAGAGTTGAGGAAGCTGCAATCTACTTATAGTAAAAATTAATGCGACCTTTTGGCTGATAAAAGATCTTAAAACTAGATTGAGTCTGTGTCTTTGTCTCAATAACTTATAGCCAAAAACTCAAGGATGGCCAACTAATCAAACAGATCCGCATCAAAGCCTGATGAAGGTTGATTGAGTCCCAGATGAAGCATCTCGAAGATTTGGTCCCAAAATTAACGTTCGATTAGATTTCTACTCTTAAATCATATCCATGTTAGCCTACCAGTGTTCAGGTATGCTGTAGTCTAGGATATAATTGTTATGTCATCTAGTTCTAAACCATTAACAGGAAAAGACAAGGGTATGCAAAAAGAATAAGAAAATCAAATGGCACCTCAAATCCACCAACAAAAGCAAAAGATGCATAGATTTCTGCATGAACTGAAGCACTCTACATATCAGTATCTAAAGTTAAGTTGAAAAACCTTGTATCTTTGACCCATGTCATTCCAAAGTAAAAAATTTAACATAAAGGAGCTTATATTACACCATCATCCCACTTTTCCCCTCAACATGCACCCCCCAAGCACATTTTAAAGAAGATAAAAAGGCAAAGATAATAGAAAGATTCCAAAGCTCTATATATCAACTCATAAGTTCCACTAAGTCAAGTTGGTTCATCTGCAAAAGTGATGTATAAGCATATTGTGGATGCTTTTCATGGAAGACATATAGAAAATGACACTCCTTTAGCAAATAAGCACATTTATATCCCAAAACTATAACTAACATCAAGTGAAAACATGGACCATTTGCAGTCAGAAACAACAAATACATGAAACATGCCTACAGCTTCTATTGCATCAGTAGATGCTTTGGCAGCACCATTCATCAATATTAGAATGCAAAAGTCTTTAATCATGTGAGATGCAGTACCCAAGAATTAATCCACATCTTGTGTCTTCCTGGATGTGCGCCATGCTACCAAGACATTAGCCAAATAAATCTTAGGAGAAGCAAGGAAGCATGGAAATAAGTGAGACAACCATCTACTGATATTCTGGATGCAACAAGGCATTTCATAATTGAGAACCAAAAAGCTAAACTCACCAGCAGATTTAAATATGTTGCTGGAATAGAATAGAACACCATTGATACCACTCAGTTGCTGGAGCACTAGTAATCCAATTCCAAGCTGCAAAACATGTACTGATTATCAGCGGAAATACAACAGGGCCTCTAGAAAAGGCAAGTTTCCTAATTTTTTCAAATTCCCCGCCTATAAAAAATTCAGATCTATCACAAAAAAAATCAATGAATTTCATAGAGCACAGTATACCATCAAAGGATACCAATATCGTCTTCTTTTAAGCTCCGCAAAACGTATAGTTGTTCTCTTGGTTGATGATCCCACAGATCTCTGTAGCAAGGAACATGCTTGTAATATAGAATCAGAAAACTCAAACAGGATTTCAAATGCAAAAGATAAGCAAACATTAGCAGATCTTGCATAAAGCTTTCAGTTTTTTAAGTTTATGTGCAGTAACTAGAAAAAGAAACTAATTGCAATACCTTGATCTCATTCACTTCAACTGAGATGTCTGTTTCAAATCCACGCAAAACTTGTAAAGAAGTTTCAAAATCTTCATTCAGCCCCATTTTAGCCTATGACATAAGGCAAGAAAGGATCAGCTAAAAACCAAACCACAAACAAATCAGTTGGTGTTTAGATCATAAGCATACCAACCAACGAGGAGACTCCGGTATAAAAAAGAGACCAGGAATCAACAGTGTGCAAGGCAAAATTCCTGTAAATAAGGTTTCAAGTCAGAAACAGCTACACAAAAGTAATAATCATAATATTGAAATAAGATCTTCAATGTGTTACATCCGACTTGTCCAAGTAAATCAAATCTATGCTGAACATGTAAAAGCAGTTAAATACAAGAATATCCTCCTCCAGGAAGAAGCAACAAAAATTTCTGGCCACTAACTAGCCCTTATCCAAGTACTTCATCCTAATTATGTGCAAAGGCGCTAGAAAAACAGAGGACATTGCACCAAGTATCTAGTCAATTGCTAAATTTAAAATTATGAATTTGCTTCAAGATAGTACTAAATTGGAGATTTGAATGCTTTTTTCAGGACAAATATTTCAGCTATACTTTGTGCTCAAAACGCATCCTCTTTCAAAGCTGCAGAAAACTAGTATCCTTCGCTTTCAACCAAAAAATGGCTTAATGTCTGAAAGATGAATGGCATGCTCGGCTTTTAAAACAAGTATCTCCACTTCCACTCTCAGCTAAGAGCGAGAATCAGGTACTGCACACAAATTTCTAAAACAGTATGCCTTCTGAGACAACTCAAAAGTTGATTTTCAGCTCACAGAAATTTGATACAATTTTATCACAACTCACCTAGGACAGCAAGCACTCTCCAAGGCACAAACATTCCCAGTAGATAGGCGAGCATTATTCCAATTGTGACTGAAAGCTACAGAATATCGCCAGAAAAGGTCAAATAACGGATGTTTACCATCAAATTTGATTACAAAGTAAAGAAGGATTGGCCTTAAATTAATTGATTTAGAAGGCAATGAACAAAACGAACCTGATTTACAGAACCCAGGCTTCCCCTTAAGTTCTGAGGCGCTATCTCTGCTATATACACGGGCACCTATATAAAGCGAAGTTCTTAACAAGTACCATTTCTATGGTATGTCCAACTGATAGCTAAAGACATGCTGTTGAAAAGTATGTTGTAGAAAGGGATTTACCGTGTAAGAAATAATCCCCACACCGAATCCTTCCAACAACCTTCCCAGGAATAAAAATGACGAGTCCTATACGATGTGTCATGAGAGTAAGAAATATGTTGACTACCAGGTAAAATTTGGACACATTCTATCATCCAATGAGTGCCAACTCACTTTTGCAAATGAAATGGCGAGCCATCCAAGTATATTAGGAATTGCAGCTATCATCAATGACTGCATTCCAAACCTTAAGAATTTAGAAAAAGAAGATGCATGTCGCACGACTGATTGTGCAAATTCAACAGATTTAATATAAAAATTTCATACCCCTTTTCGTCCGACGTATTCAGCAATCTGCCCGCTTGCAATTGCACCAACCATTGCACCCACATTGGCCAATGAACCAAATACTGAAAACTACAATCCCATCCCACCAAGAGACTTTATCAATAATAATAATAATAAAAAGGAAACAGAGGACAAAAAAAATAGTTTGAATAAGAAGAGATGGACCTCTGAAATGGTGAGTCCCAGATCATTGATTATATCAGCTTGCGTAGGACTCGAATATCCACACTGAAAACCTCAATCATATAATTGCAAAATGTCAAGTACATTCTTAATAAAATGGCAAGTGAGATAAACAAAATGCTATGGAAAGAAGTGAGGAAATATACGGTGAATCCGAACTGAATGGGTCCCAAAGCGACGATGGATACACAGAGGAAAACGGAAATGGATTCTCTGATCATTTGGGCGGAGGAGCCCATAATGCTGGACTGCCTCGACGCCATCCTATACCAACTTCCGGTATGCAATAAGGGCTTCCGAATCCCATCTTCCAATGCCGAATCATCTCTGGAACTCATCGTATTCCCAGCCTCGTTAGCCTTGCAGAAAAAAAAGTTTTTATTCTACAAGATAGATTTATTGATGAAGATGTAGAAAACAGAGGCCGTTTACAACGGTCTGTCTTCTTGTTGTTTGTCTGAAGAAACAAAACGAGGAGACGTCGGGAGTGGCGGAGAAGTGAGAAGGGGGTGTAGGCACGTGTCTAGTTAGGGTTAAGACACGTGTCTAATCCAATCTGGGCAAATTATGCTGTGTGGGACCGCGTGGGCTCTGGTGGGGCTGGCATTGACCGGCCGGTAAATTAAGCGCTCCGATCGGGGAATGCTCACCTGGGGGCTGGGACATGAGTTCAACACGTCAGCACTAGATGGAGCATTAGCTGTGCTTAGTGGCCAATCATAATTCATGTACCCCAAGCAAGTGCACAGATTGGATCCAGACACATGTATACATTCTTGGTTTGTTATATTTTCGTGATTTTATAAGCATATGGAATTTTTGGAGTTTTTTTTTCTACTTTTCTTTTGGAGGACGGCATGTGGAGTTCGAAGATACCATGAATCATAATAAAAATAACTTGCAAGGAAAGAACAAAAAGAAAGAACTTGCAAATTTGCAACAGATAAAATTTAGTACCAAATGAACTCTAATCCAATATGTTTGGATTGTAAATTATTTGAGATATTTTTACTGTAGCATTTTTTTGTGATGTGATGTATGTGAGATAAAAAAATAATTGAAAAGATAAAAAACTGTATTAAAAATTGTAATGGTGATATAAACAAATATATTTGGAGAAATAATCCACTGTCCAAACAAAATGTTCAGTGACATAGGCAACTCGTGTGGTTTTGCAATTTGGACTTTAACGTGCTTTCGGATCCTCCTCATGTTGTAAGGTGTGCCATTCTCAGTAATCATAAGTGGATAATTATAAGAATTCTTATTAGCGATTTATGATATTAAAAGTATATTCTAATCGATGATAGTAATCGAAATTGAATTTATTTAATTTTTTAATAAAAAAATGTTGAAATCCTTTAGTACTTGACTGATGAACTCGTTAAGTATTCTATACATACAAGCGTGGAAATTTTTTTCTGTCTTTTTTTAGAGTTATACAGAACTACTTTGTAATGAGATCAAATATATAGTTTATTTGACAAGAAAAGCTAATTGTGATTAATTTTGACAAGAAAAGCATTTGCAATTAGTAATTTCATAAAATTGATTGAAAAAGTCCAATGACGAATTTGCATCTGCATGCGAACTACACAAAATTCTCGCGTAAAAAGGAAAACCTTGTACTACTAGATTAATTCTTGTCGTTATGTCCACGGAAGATTTGACCCAGCCGAGGTGTTTGGCCAGTCTTGCCATTAGCCAATGACTTGTCACTACATTTCTAGATTGACTTTTTACCTCCAACAAGAACCAACAATAGTAGATACTAGATAGTAGAGACTAGTGTACCCGACCCGGTACCCATCCCCCACCGCAGTCAAAACGCCCCCCTCCAGCCCCGACATCATCACAGCAAGAAGAAACAGGCCAAGAAAACAACAGCACAGGTGAAACTTCTGCCGTAACGACTCCCAATTCTCAACCCTCCACCACCAAAACCACCGCTACCCCGGCCGCCGTCGTTGTTATCCAGCCCCCTTCAGCAATTCTTTCCTCGTCTTCCACCGCCGCAGAACGGAAAATTCTAGAAATAACATTTTGATCACCGCCGCACACATGGGTGAACAAACCCAGGTACAGACCCAAACCCAATCTCAATCGCCGGCATCGTCTCAACCTAATTCTGATGTAACATCCGCAACACAGCCCACTCCTGTAGCCGACGTCTCCATCAATGCCGACGTTTCCCAGAAGCCCTCCAATCCTTCCAAAATACCTATTCGACCTCAAAAAATCCGAAAGCTGTCATCTAACCCTACTTCCACCATTGCCACCACCCCCGTTGTTCTCACCGCCGTTAACTCCTCCTCCATGCCCACCTTGCAGACTTCCGAGGCCAAAGCCCTACAAATTACTGATTCTTCCTCCTCCCCTTCTGCCATTCCTATTCCGACCACTGCTTCCTCCTCCTCTACCACCACCACTACCATCACCTCCACCTCCGCGTCGACCAGCACTGCTGTTACCTCCACCACAGTTTCCACACCCACGGCATCTACGCCCAAGAATCGGAGGCGTAGTGCTGTCCAATCAGCTAGGGTTCTGCCCCAGATCATCAAACCCCTGTCGGCCGAGGGTGAAATCAATGCCGCTCTCCACCACCTCCGCGTTGTTGACCCTTTACTTGCTACCCTGATCGATACCCACCAGCCTCCGGCATTTGAGTCTCACCACTCCCCATTCCTTGCCCTCACCAAGAGCATTCTCTATCAGCAACTCGCCTACAAAGCAGGCACCTCAATCTACAATCGCTTTGTAGCGCTCTGCGGTGGCGAGACTGCAGTTCTTCCCGACAATGTGCTGGGTCTATCTGCTCAGGAGCTCAAGCAAGTCGGTGTCTCTGGTAGAAAAGCCAGCTATTTATATGACCTCGCAAATAAGTATAAATCTGGGATTTTATCGGATGAAACTGTGGTCAAAATGGATGATAAGTCATTGTTTACCATGCTATCCATGGTCAAGGGAATTGGGTCATGGTCAGTTCACATGTTCATGATTTTTTCACTGCACAGGCCAGATGTTTTGCCAGTGAGTGATTTGGGAGTGAGGAAAGGAGTGCAGATGTTGTATGGATTGGAGGAGTTACCTAGACCTTCACAAATGGAGCAATTATGTGAGAAATGGAGGCCATATAGGTCAGTTGGTGCTTGGTATATGTGGCGGTTTGTGGAAGGAAAGGGATCACAGAATGCTTCTGTTGCTCCTTCTGTAGAGGGTGCTAATGTGCAGCCATTGCAGCAAATTGAGCCTCAGCAGGATGCACAACAGCAACACCAATTGCAGCTTCTGGAACCCATCAACGGCATGGGGAATCTCGGGTAGTTGATATTTTGCTTTAAAAATCTTTTCTTGCTTGTAGATAATCAACTCATATGTGTTTTCTGCTCTGTGTCAAGGCATCATTGTAGAAATTTCTTGTCAGATTAGCTACATGTTGTCATATATGTTTTTTTGTTTCACATGGTAAGCGGGTCTGCAAGGGGGAGTATATGCTAGGATAAAAATGGTATCAACTTTGATGCTTATCTGTTCTAAGATCCATGAGGTAATCTCACTAATTGGTTTCAGAAGGATGAGTTGGTGTTACCTTGTTCATGTGCTTGGTAGGTTGGAATTATATTCCATTAATTGATGCCATTATTGGGTTTTGTCTTTTTTTGGTTATAAAACATGCAAATTAGGTTTTCATTTGCTTGTTCGATGGGGAGCAGTTGTGCCACTAGGTATGGTTGAATTGAACTTGTTTTACATTATTAACGCCATTGTAATTACTATGAAAAGGTTATGGAAATGGCTGGAATTATAAAACTTTGGTATTGTTTTTGAGTTGTTTATAAATGCTGAAAATCACAGCTTGCGGGATAGGCCATCACTCAGAGGTTTCCAGAAGTCCTTTATTACTGTTCTAGATTGAGTCACTCATAAATGCCAAAAGCCACAATGCTCTAAACTGATGGCATAATCAAAACGATATAAAAACAAAATGCGTTTCATCGTGTTGGGGGACAACATATATGAATTCACTAGCTATCGCCAACTGCTTTATGAGCTTATGTCTGAGCCCTCTTACTTTATGTGATGCAGTTGTGTGTTTGTATACACAAGTTTCTCTCTATCCCTCTCTCTCAAATGGATGACTACATTTATGAAATAAACTGTTGTTTAATTCGGAACTAGCTTTTCCATTGTTTCGGTGAACAACCTACAGTCTAACCAGGGTATGTAAACTTAGGGCAAATCTGGCACAAATAGATTGTTGTTGTTTCTTCTATTTACTTGTGTCATGTTAGCTGGTTGCTTCCTGTTGCAAGTGTCTGCCTTTTGCTGCGTATTTACTGTTTCTTTGTTTTGGTGTGACCTTTTCATAACTGCAAGTTCAACATGAGTTGCTTGAAATGTTGTTCATAACTGCAAATTCAACATGAGTCGCTTCAATTGTTGTCCATAACTGCAAATTCAACATGAGTCGCTTCAATTGTTGTTCATAACTGCAAATTCAACATACTCACTTCAATTGTTGTTCATAACTGCAAATTCCACTTGATTCACTTGAATTGTTCATCATAACTGGATCTTTCAAATTGTCTGGCTCTTTATTTTTTTCTTTAATAAGTTTAGCTATGGGTTTTGTCACAGGAACTGTGGGTTTTTTTTTCCGTTTTTGGCTATTATGATATTTGACCTTCCTGTTTGGTTAATTAAAACAGAAAGAAATAGTTAATGCTGAATGTGGATTTTTCATTATAAGATATGCCTCTTCTTAACCATTTCCCACTACCCACCTTTTGACCTGTATAAATAGGACATGATACTTGTAGTTGATAACTCATAGGTTCTTGAGTCGCTAATGCATGGCTTCGTGTGTGGCCTTGACATGCTGGCCTTTGTGCAAGTGTTTTGCATTTATAGACTAGGTTTTTGAAAATTTCACAATGATACAGCATTTTGAAATGGTAATATTCACATTTCTTTCCGATATTTGTGGATGAATGACCGCAATGTACATTTGGCTGTAACAGTGATTCTTTTTATGGTGAAAACAAAATTGTAGTATTAGCATCCGCATGTTGACATTTTTCTTTTCTGTTTAATTACTCAAATTCCATTTTCCCACCTTTTGCCTGTTCATGAATGCGGTATATAGAACCAAGGTTTCTGTTAGCAACTTTAGAGCATACCTCAGTAAAATTGTTGACCACAGGCTTGATTTAGGTGACTTGCATATTAGGATCTGTATTCCATGCCCCCAAAAAGTCATGCTTAAGTTTCTTATTCATCCAAGTTTCTGGAAATGTAAGTAGAAGGTTGTGGTTGGTCGTGTTGTATATTCAACATTGAAGAGTTAAAAAGTTTACTATTGGTTATGCTGCTAGTGCAAAATTTGTCGTGGTTTCGTGCTATCAGCTGTCGTAACATGAACCCTGGTGATGAAGGGAGCTATTTGTCATCTTAAATACGAGTAAATTTGGTTCCTGGACTATGAATATATGATGTTGGCATTGCTTCACTATCTCCATTCGCCTTTTGTCTGCTTGTCAATTTAACCTCTTCTCATGAGAAAGGTTGTGCCTCTCATTGACAGAATTAAGAAACAGGTAATGCTGTGGATCCTTAAATGGATAAATCCTATTTGAAAGGAGATGTTTGTCATAGGCCATAGTCCACAATTAGTGAATGACGTTTTTTGGTAACTTAGGTTACTAAAAAGCTGGTACCACTTGACGCTTTGCACTTCCGTTCATTGCTCTTTATGGATACATGCAAAAAGTTTTGATCTTATAATTCACAAGTACACTGACAAGTGTAACCAGATTTGGTCTTCTGTTGTAGGGCTTGCATCTGGGGCCAATGACGGGGAAGAAAGTGTTCTGTATCATTACATTAGGAATTACTAGTCTCTGTCTGATCCATGGATGTAAAGAATCCAGTGCAAGGGTTTGTTGAATTCCGGAAGAACCTGTCGTATATAGCTCCAACATTTTATATAACCTTGGGGGCTGTATTTGTAGAGTATAGTTGCGAACTTGTTGAACAAGTTGTGCTTTTAGGTATTGAGGCTTTTATTGATAGTTAGGAAAGGATAGCTTCCATAAAAGACTGGTATCACCCCTCAGCTCTTGATGCAATTGTTTAGCTACTGCGCGTACATTTTATCAACATATAAGCTTTTATTTCAACACTTCGTATTTACCCATGTTTGTTTCTTGTGGTGGACCAACCTCATTCCCAAAGCCAACATGATTTGACTTTATGTGTGTGTGTGTGTGTGTGTGTGTGTGTATATATATCATTTGGCAAACAAAATGATAACTCTTCAGTGTTTTCTTTCTCGTTTCTATTCTTGTCTGTAAAATAAGGTGCAAATGAATAATCTAGTCAGAGCCAAGTTTTGACTAAATGAAATGGACCTCGATTAAAAAGTCCCTTTCTTCATCTTAAAAAGTTGATTGTGCAGTAGTATTTCTTCTTGTCAAATTTTTTAAGTTAAAAAAAGAAGAAGACAGAATACTTAAAATCTAAGACAAAATTTTTGCTTAAGCGTCCAAAATATACAGCTGTTCCAAATTTGTTTGTATCTGTCATTGATTAACCCATTGCTCAAATTCCGAATAGTTTTACACCCAATATACAAATTACCAATTCAGCACCTAGTGATTAGTCATATTTGGAACATATTGCTCAAATTACCATTTTTAGTTTTACAATCTCTAAATTAACCTCTTTCTCGTAGATTATCCAACATAAGTGGTTAGCCGTGGGTTAAAAAAAGGCAATTAAATATGTGTTCACTAAGAACGTAAAAATTTTTCTGTAGAAAACAGCAACCCAAACAAGAGGGACTGAAGTTGTCAAACTTTGAACGTTTTCATTTTTTTTCCTAGTAAAAAAAAAAAGTTAAAGTGAATTTATCTTTGATCACTTTCATAGATCAAGCATGCTTCATATAAGCATTTTCTGTTTGACGCATCTTCTGTACATGCTATATATGTGTGTGTGTGTGTATATATATATAGTTGTCAATTATGGGTCATGCCATTATCGCATCTTTGTATAGTGTTGTTGTGGGCTGCGGCCTGTAGAAAGGAGAAAGAAGGGGGAAGAGTTAACAACCAAAACCATCTCTGGCCAAGAAATCCAGACATTTTGCAAGAGGGAACTAATAGGACTTAGTTCAAGCCCAATACGAATGTTACGATCCAGTGCACCTGCAGCCAATCCACTTGATACTTAGTGGAAGAGAATTATCGAAGCAAAATTTAGAAAGACTGAAATAGAGACTGAAAGCTTATATAGAATTTGAATTTGATGAAGCTGAAGAGGTGACTTCCGGGATGTCCGAAAATTTTGCTACAGAAATGACACCCTGAACATGATGATGATTATGCTTGCAAATTCTTAATTTTTTTGGTCATATTGCAAATTCTTATTCGGAGTATCTTTTTTTTTTTTTAAATTATTCTTGAATATTTTAAACTGAAAAACAAAAGAAAACAAAAAAAAAAAAAGGACGGCAAAGAGATCAAAGAGATGAGAAATTGGTCATATCAAAATTTGACAAGGGCATGCGCATCATCTTCATCTTTTTTTTTTTTTTGGTCGACATGCAACTAAAGCACAACAAAGACGCTTTTCTCATTGTTCATCCCAACTTATAAAAGGACATGGGATTGTCGGAAATTCAAAAGTATGGTATTCTTTCTAGGAAAATCTGTCCTATGTACTATTAACAATGTGATTAGTATGTCATATGTGTAAAGTTTAGAATTTCAATCAAACTAAAACATGGTGCGGCATGGCGTGTGTTTGGATATCAAATTATTTGGGATAATTTTTTTTTTTAAAAAAAAAAGATACTGTAACATTGTTTGATATAATGTATATAAAATAAAAAGTTGGTTAGAAAATATGTTCGTGATGTAGAACTTTGTACAAATAATCCAGTGTCCAAACAAATTCGCTTGTAAGAAAAATTTATAATTCTTTTGTTTAGAATTACTAGCAAGTTTGTCCAACCAAATGATTCATCACCATGCAGCTCGTCACGCATGAAAAATCTAAGAGATTTTTATTTTTATTTTTTGTCTGGGCTGTGGAACAATTATTTGACAAGTCTAATAATTAGTGTTTAACTCACGTGATATGGTCAACTGGACATAGTAAGAATCCCAAGTGCCAAATCAGAACTCTTATCAAAAATACAATTATTGGGCTCCACAATTTTATTTAAAAATATCTTCATTGATAGAAGACTGACTGCTCGACTTAACATGTAGCTGTTCCATGCCATGCCATGATAAAATTTGTCGCCGAAAGAGGGTTAATTGAATTTGAAGCAAGAATACAGAAATGGCAAATGCTTGGACTTGGTTCAACTTAACCATTTATCTTCTCTGCTTTATCTTTCGGCTGCGGATGAGAGGTTACTTTAGAGAGAAAAGACAAGTAATTAATGCATAATGTATTCTAGAAAGATCAATGAGCATATATGAAATTTATTGATTAAAGATAATCTTGGTATTTGAGTAAAATATGCTCTGATAGGAAGATAGTTGCTCTAGCATTGCAACATCACTTACGGGCATCAGCTAATTCATTTCATGTAAACTTGCCAATGGACTTCAAGTAAGTCTGCTTAAAGATCGTCATGACATCTTAGATCCTATTTGGAGTTGTGGTAGTCTATAAAAAATCTTTTTTTTTTTTTTTTTTTTTTTTTTTGCATGAGTACTTTGAATCTAATTATAATTGGCCCTAAAAAAGAGGTTTATGCAATACTGCAATATTAAGTAGTGTTGCTCGGTCCCATAAATATTAATGCAAGTAAACGTAGTTAAAAAGGGTAAGTAAATATAGTTAATGCAATCATTTTTGTTTCATCAATAGTACATATAGTTTTGTTTTTGTAGTTCCTACTAGAATAATTGATTAGTGGAGTAACATATTTGTTGATAGGATTTTTCTAAAGAGGGTCTATTCACACACATAAATTACTCTTACATTCATAATTATTATCCTCCCTTACATTTATACATTATTCTTAATTAACTTTATTTTTCATAAATTTAATACCTGAATTACATCGTAACGAATATCCATTAGTCACTTGTTAAACAGACCCTTGTTGACAAAGATGCACATTAAGTATAAGTATAGTAGTAAATTGATAAACAAGCAGTCCTCTTAAAAAGGAAATAAGTTGATAATTTAGGATACATATATAAAAGAATAGTGAGCCTATATTACTTGTGGGTGGGGCGGGATTGGAGTAGTAAATATAAGGGATAATTTCAGAAATCTCTCCTGAGATTTTTGACAGTTTCACTCACTTCCCTTTTGATTTGAATAATTGCACTAACTTCCCTTCATGTAGTAAAATGACTATAATATCCTTCACTTATAGATAATTCCTACCAAAAAAAAAAAAATCCTACAACTACAACTAGTTTTTCATTCTAAAACAACGATAGCCACACAAAATAAACTCTTATTGTATTTCTCCTGCCTTCTTTCTCCTATGTCTTATGATCCACTAGTTCTTCGCAAATGTCATCCACACAACTACCTAATACATCTCGAATCCTTATTATTATGAAAATATATCCTCTTTCCTTTTTTTTTTTTTTGTAAATATTATTGAATTGATATTGCCAAATGAGAAGTTGCCGAATCAAATTTGTTATCAAAATAAATAAAGATGAAAAGGATGGCGGTGTACAGACAAGCAAATAAAAGTGATAGCTAAAAAGGGAACATGAATTAAGGAAGATTACGTTATTATACCAATTATGTATAAAGAATTTTGGGATATAAAAAACTGCAATCGGATTTGCCAAGAGACATGAGATGTAGCCTCTAGTGTTGCTTTTTGGTTGCTACATGTTGGTATTCTTGGTGAATTGGATTATTTTAGCATCAATAAGATTGAATTGGATTATTTTAGCATCAATAAGATTGCAGTTATTTGGATAGTGACATTAGTCAATGCAAACATTGAATTCAGGAAAAAAAAAAAAAGAGGCTAAAGATAAGATTAAATGCAAACTTTAATTGTCACAATTGATTTGGATGGAAAGTTTTGAGGCGTCAATGATAGGTTGTTAAAATTGTGAAAATATGGGAATTAATCTAAAGTGGTTTATTAAATTCGTTAAAGTAGTGATTATGACGTTTACAATAGTTGCAATTGGAAAAAATATATTGGTGATTTTCCCTGTTATAAGTAACAAAGGGGTATTTTTAAGAACAAATTTAACATACTGGGTCTATATTATTATTGAAATGTTAAAGGGGAGCTTCCTGTAGTAACCAGAAATCTCAGGGGAGGTTTCGGAAATTACCCTAAATATAATACTGTCGTCAAAGAAAATTGTTCTGCAATTATGTGATGGTTTAACTGGTGCCCCAAACGACTCGGACACTTCACCTAATAAACGTTAAAAATCGATTGCGGCTTTTTAAAATGATGAGAAGCAAATATTGCAAAAATGGAAAATATAAGAAGAAAAGTGTTAAACAATACTAGAGTCGCGATATGGAGTCTAGCACAAGGCACGGCTAGCTTATTCAGCGGATGAATGACACCCTGCAACAGTGAACAAGTGCCCTTTTCTTCTCTTCTACTACTTCTTCTTCTACTTCTTCTTCTTCGTCTCGTCTTTTTAATGCACAGTAGTGTCTGTTTGTTAATGATTATCTAACATTGATGAGGCATCTGCAAAACTAATTGATTAGTGCATTCTGGAGTGTTCTTTTTTCCTTAGGGTTTTATTATCAGAAAAGCAGTAGTAACATTTAAAATGAAAATGAAGAGGCGCAGGACTTTAGTTTTTGCCCTTGCACTTCATTTGCTTATAATTTGCTTGCCTCCGTTTGGCTTTCCACTTTCCAGATTTCATAAACTCTTCAAGTACAATTTCTTACTACTTTTTCTTTTTGTTTCATGTACACATTTATCGAAAAATAATTACTTCTCATATTAATATATATATATATATTTTTTTTTAATAAAACAATGGAATCCATCCAAACACTTTTTTTTTTCTTTTTTCATATAATGAAAGTTATCTCTGACCTACATGATCCTATTCCCGCAACAATGTGTATGATTTTCACGTACAATTAACATTCAAAAGAAATGTTCCAGATGGGGCCGATATTATGCTAAAATATCTATCATTATCAACAGAAAGCCATGATATATAGGCCTCAATAGGGCTGCAAACGAATCGAGCCGCTCGCGAGCGGCTCGAGTCAAGCTCGAGTCGAGCTCGACATTAATCGAGCTCGAGTCGAGCTCGAGCTCAGAATATTAAGCTCGTCCGGCTCGCGAGATTGAATATATATATATTTTTTTATTTTTATTTTTATTTAATAATAAAATTACGTATATTATATATATATATTTTTTTATTTTTTATTTTCATAGTGAAATTACGGATATATCCTTAATATTTTATTATTTATTCAGAAAAAATATTATTTTATTTATTTTTTTTAAAAATAAAATTTTTTTTTATTTTTTTCGAGCTCGAGCTCCACTCGACTTGATTCGAGTCGAGCTCGAGCTCGAAAATTGCCAGCTCGTCGAGCTCGAGCTCGAGCTTGATAAAATTTAGCTAAGGCTCGGCTCGATTAGCTCAAAACTCGACTCGGCTCGGCTCGTTTGCAGCCCTAGGCCTCAAGCTCACTTTTTTTTTTTTTTTTTTAAAAAAAATTTTTTTTTTTTTTGAAACAGGAATAGACATCAAGATAAATCACTAGCTACTTACTAGGTACACTTTTTTTTTTTTTTTTGTCAACACTTCGAATCACTCTTTACGGGGTCCGACTGATCCCATGCGAGAGACTTACTTTTTTTTTTTTTTTGTCAAACACGAGAGACTTACTAGGTACACCAAGAATAGAAAGACATTCCACCAAAACCTTCAGCATTACTTTTCAAAATAAATGGTTGACTCTCGAAAAGTCTATTTGTCCACGAATTAATAACAAAAGATACATCATATTCGTGTCAAAAATGGTATAATATACACAATAAGTTGCACGTAAAGTGCAGTATTTAATGAAGTACAACAAAAGTATATATATATCAAATCATAAAAAGAATATAATCAATTGTGCCTATCCCGGCCGCAATTTAGGCATGCCTGTATTAGAGGATAGATGGAATTGATGGGAGTAATCATGGGTCTGTTAAACGTGATTAGACTGTATATTAGAGGATAGATGGTGATTGAGAATTTAATTGAGAGATGAGATTGGCAGCTGCCCATGAAATGAACCTCTCATCTTGTATGATATTGATCTCCCTCCACATGATTTCCAGTCCCACTATTTTGATTCCACTTACAAATCAATCTACGTACAAAGCGTGCAAATGTTGACGTGACTTGTCCATGATCTCAATTAGATTTGCCTTTGGCAAAAGGGCCAAGCCTTCGTGTTATTGGTCAGCTGCACCACCACCAAGCTTTAATTCCAGTACCTGTTGCGTAGTACCAAACCACCTTTTGATTCTCGAGCAAGTAGATTTCGAGGCTAAATCCCGCGCATGTCCAAACCTCTTCCTGGTCAATTGCTCGTTTAATTTTTTCGGCGTCACTAGTCCGCCTGTATGACACTTTGCAGAGAACGAACACAATTCTCCATCTACATCAGCTTCGTTTATTTTATGTTAATATACAGTAGTGAATGAATGAACCTTGACAACTGAATTCAAATACTACAAGCCCTTCCGGGGTTGGAGCCGATGGCAGTAATCCAGTTGGATGAGTATCATTGTCACGGTTTCAATTCCCGGCACTACTGTGGCTGGTGATGCTTGGAGCGGGCTTCTCCCAGTCCGTAGTGGAATTAGTTGGATCATACGGTAACCAGTCCACGAACTCAGATACCCACTGTCGACGAAAAAAAAAAAAAAAATCAAATACTACAAAAACCTCTCTATCTCTTGGAATTTGCTGACCAAGTCCCAACGGTCAAAAATTGTTTTAAAAGGAGTACATCAAAAGGAGACAAAAAAAAAAAAAAGAATCATAAAGAAATGACAGAAAAGAAAGCGGCAGCAGCAGCGGCAAAGAGAGAGGAGGAGTTGATCCAAGCATGAAAGCCTACAAGACTATGGTCGAGGTTTCGCCACGAGTACCCACGCCTGCCGTCTTGTTCTAAATTAATCATGTCATGGAGATATGCTGATCCACCCCTTACCCTTAATTAAATAAATACTTCAAAAGCTTCAACGCATTTGATGATTATAAATGAACTCCGCCGACTGATTGCTCGGAACTTGTTCCCTAGCCAAGAAAGGCTAGTTAGTGTGAAGAAGAAGACTGGCTTCAACATATATATATTTCTTTAATCTTTCATTGCCATGAAATCCAACCCTGTCTGCTTTCTTCTAATTAAATATCACGAGTAGCATATTGATCAATTGATTAAGCTATAATTGGTTAGTAACCCCTTTTACATGTAAGCAGCTTGATAAACAAAGGGCCTAAAGGAACAAAGCTACCGTTCTTCCACATACTAATCTTCTTAAGTGTTCGCTGTTACCACTTTAATTAAGCCAAATCCGATGTTTTTACTCTTTTTTATGTTGTGATCCCTTTCTGGTATATAAAAATTTCGGCTGGCAGTTCTGCTTTCCATTTTTAGTTACTCTAGGTCATCGGCTGAGATTGCCATTGGTAAAATCACTAAACATAATCTAGTCACTAAACACCATCTAAGTACGTGCGTCCAAAGAAGGGACCTTTTTGACTCACGAACCATTGAATAATAATGTAAAGAATTCTCAGATGAGTTATCAGTCCCAATTCCAAGGTCTGTCTGCCTATGGTCGTTTGAGTAATTAGAATAGGGTTCTAATTCATGCACATTGCAAGTACTAATTCCAAGATTATTTTAGTTTCCAAAAAATTTTTTCAAGATTATTTTTTCAGTACTCCATTTTTTTAAATAATATTTTATTTGCATCATAACACATTTTTAAACGACTTTTTTTCTAAATTTTTTACTAGTATTTTTTATCTCACATACATCACATGACAAAAATGTATTATAGAATTTTTTTAAACTCAAATAATTTTCTATTCCAACACATTCAATGAAAGTAAAAAAAAAAAAATTTATTCTTAAAAAAATTTTGTTTACAATTCTAACACGTAATTTAATCAACCACAAATTGAAAAGAACAGAAAGAAAATGTGAGGAGCATTTTTTTCTCTTCCCGCCCGGGTGTTAGTCTTTGCTTCATGCGTGTCTATTCCACTTAAATTGCATATAACAGCTCACGATGCACATTTTGGACACGATTGTCTCCCTACTTGGTCAAGAAAAAAAATTTAATAGCTCACTCTAGTAGCCCCAAAGTCAATCAAAACGACTTTGAAATGAAACTAATGAATTTAGCTGAATAAGGTTAGCATCCAGACAAGTGAACAAGGGCAAAATTGCATGGCCAAAAGGGCATAAAATAAAATAAAGCAAAGAAAAAAAAATGCAAAATCATCTAATTTTTTTGTTTATTTGTCACAACAACGATAATAATATTTTTATAATTTAATCTATCCTATTCTACGAGAAGGAAGAATCTTCAAAAAATTGTATAAAGAATTAATAGATAAACAAATCCGATTAGATTAGATCGAATGAGTGTTTTGACTCATTTCTTAAATTTTTTTTTTATTTTACTGCAAGTGAGATTCGAACTTAGTAACACATAATCCAAAAAGAAATTTAATTCGTTTTTGGTGACGGGCTGAGGCAATATTGGGTTTGTTTGGACAACAAGAATTTGAGGTAAAAATTTCAGATTTTGTTTTGCTTGCATCATACACACAATTCCCAATCACTTTTTTATCTCACATACATCACATCACACAACGTGCTACAGTAACTAAACCAAATAAATCATCCAAATAAATTCTTATCCAAACAAACTCAATGGCTTTTCAAAGTCATATAATAACCACGTGACGCAACTCCAACAGGAACAAACACAAGTGGCATCCCTGACACCTCCATTTAGCCTACCCCGCGCGCGCGCGCAGATACACTGTGTACGAGCACATAAGCCAGTAGCTTAAAGGAACCACACGTCGATAGTGTCCCACGAAGGATGCAGACTGCAGTGAAGGACAAGAACAATTCTATTCTAGTCTCGACTCTATAGATGGATGGCTGGATGGAAATTAACCAACAGTACCTGGCGGATGATGGTTTAGTACCAGCAGCATCATCTACCATCACAAGAAGACTCGGATGTAAAGCCACATGTTGCACAAACATTGCACCACCGGGTGTTCCCACAGCCTTTTTTTTGCACCAAAAAAAGCGCTCTGCTGCTGGGATGCATTACACAGAGAGCCCTTCTTCGAGTAATACGAGAGTGTGAGATTATTAAGCTACCCACTGGCTGGCTAAAATTAAAGAACTATGCTCTGGAATCTGACACAATAACACCAAGGCGACCAAAATGCTATGCTCTGGACCCATCCTCTTCTTACTTTTATTCCACTCAAGCTACAACACAACATAAAGATGATAAAAAAAAAAAAAAAAAAAAGTCTTCCTTCCATGAATTCATATTCTTTTGTCACAAAACGGAACGAGGAGAAATGAATTAAGAAGATTGCTCAGTACTTTACACGCATTTCTGCAACAAGTACATACATTATTATTATTAACCCTAATTGCACCATGTTGAGCCAGGTCTCACCTTCTTTCTTCCTCATGGTGAGATTTGCATAAACTACTCCCCTGATTAGCTCATCATACTACTAAATGCGGTAACCCTTTGCAGTTATGTTTGTTTTTAAAGGGGATTAGACCCCCAAAAAAGCGCTCCAAGGAAGGATTTGTCTTGTCCCATCCCATCATTAACATCTCTTTCCCCTTTCTAATTCCAGGGATTGCAGGATACATACAACACGGAGGGGGGCTAGCGCGCTGAGGCAATAATAATAATGAGACAATGGACCAGTGTGCAGGTGTTTAGTGAGTACGAGCATGACTTTGTCGGTTGTTTTGTAGAGTGAGTCTCCCACTGTCATCGGTGTCCAGTACCACCGAGGTTACCTCACTCTCAACTTGGAGTGCATTTCAGCTGCTCCCTTTGATGGATGGAATTTTATGGGGCTGGATGGCTGTTGGGAGACACAAGCCCTTCCTTTCTTTTGTTACTTCTAAACCCTCTTATCACGTCCATCTCTCATTTTCACTCGCTGATTATTCCTCCCAAAACTCCTCCTCAACTTCTATAATTAACTTCGCTCGGTACCGACTGCCAAGTTTTTTTTTTCAACGTTTTTGCTTGGCTTCAAGGGTCCCATGTCCAATCTAATCTTCTCATCTCCCAAGTGAATTTCAAGATTCCTCTAATTTTCTTACTCTGGAGTTTCCTGAAATTAATCCCTTCTAAGCATGGACCTTTTAGACCATTTCTGTATCAAATACTACCACTAAATCGGCTTACGTATTGAGAACGAGGTTGAAAAATTAGTGAGATGGGACCACTTGGTTTAGCACCAAAAACGTCCATATCAAGCTGAAAAGAAAGCACATGTCTGAGATTACTTAGTTGATTATCATTTATCTCTTTGGTTTATGTATGCTCTGGGGATTAGACTAGTCGAGTTCATGCTCCGAGAAAATTAGTGATTAGCGCAGGTTCACAGTTAGACAGAAGCTTATGTTTTGCTGATTATGATGAAGGTAATCTGAGAGAGAGAGAGAGAGAGATCAACAGCCGAGGTGGTTCAAAGATCAAGGCTCACTACTGTTGCTATCAAAATCCATGGAGCCAAGAGGGCAAGAAAAGGATATAGGCAGCCTCCCATACTCGGTGGGTTATAGTCCACCTTCATTCACCAACGAATCCTCAACCAAGCCACCTTCAGCTCCAAGTTTGGATAGAAGAAGAATTGATGCCGGCCGCGGAAGTATCATCCCTATCACCCCCAGTCCTAACCAAACCCTAGATCAGCAGCAAAATCCACCACAACAACAACTATATGCACATAAAGACTCGAACCCAGATCCAGATCCAGTTCAAGTTACCAATGCAACCCCCATAAGTGGTGCATCTAACTCGAAGACAGCGACAGTGGCAGCTCAACAGCCGCCACCAGCACCAGCAGCTTCAGGAGCTAATACAACTGCTCCTGGCTCATCGGTTCGATATCGCGAATGCCTCAAGAATCATGCAGCAAGCATGGGAGGACATATTGTCGATGGATGTGGAGAATTCATGCCTAGTGGAGAGGAAGGCACTCCTGAAGCCTTAAGGTGTGCAGCTTGCGATTGCCATCGCAATTTTCATCGGAAAGAGGGCGATGGCGAACCGCAAGCCGGTACAAGTGGCTATTACACACAAAACCATACGCCCAGACTGCACAATAGTGCTCATCAGGCGACACTATTTCGTACTCAACCTCAAACTTCTCCCATTAGAATGCCGCCTCAGCATCATCATCATCAGCAGCAGCATAAATTTGCTCATAGTTATTCCCATGGTTTAACCGCTAGTCCGACAGGTCCTATGGCGCCTATCATGATGACTTTTGGAGGAAATAGCGGAGGAGCTGCGGCGGAGTCCTCTAGTGAAGATCTTAACATGTTTCAGTATAATGCTGGAGGACAAGTGGTGCAGCAAGCGTTCTCGGTGTCGAGAAAGAGGTTTCGGACAAAATTTACACAACAACAGAAGGATAGAATGAATGAATTTGCTGAGAAGCTGGGGTGGAAGATCCAAAAGCAAGATGAACAAGAAGTGCAGCAGTTTTGCAGTGAGGTAGGAGTAAAGAGACAGGTCTTCAAGGTTTGGATGCACAATAACAAACAAGCAATGAAGAAGAAACAAATGTAAGACAAGGGCTAATCCCCTTTCCGAGATTCTTGAATTTTTAGCGCAGAAAATATGAGATTGTGCACAACCATATACATGAACTGATTTCGGTAGATTAACCAGTGATTGGGTCGCTGATCACTGCTTGTTTTCTTGATATTTAGATTATCTAAGAGAATTAACCACATCATCTAATACGGTTTCATATGGTATCTAATTTGACATCCTATATTTCTATGTATCCCAATTTTAGTTTCTCCTAAGCTCAACACTCTTTATTTATATCTGCCCTACCTCCAGATTACCTGGTTAGTAGTCATCTGTTAACTCGTAATTGTCAGCATTAATAGCACTCTACGTCTTAAGCACAAACTAAACGCCCTCAGACAAGAATCTTGTTTTGGGGAGAAACCCATGTGTGTGATTAATGCATCTTTGTCTTTCTTTTATAGTGGTTTAATTTGTTGTTTTATGTTTTAGCCTTCACCACTGACAATGAGTTGAAATATGATACTCCCTCATCAATTTTACAGCTGGATGGAAAGACTGTCTAGCTTTGAGTACTTGATCACATACTGGCCTGGTCAGTTGTTTGCTTCTTTGATCTGGTCAAAATTACTTGGAAACTCCAATAGCACGTACAATAATAAGTCTAGTTCACTATATGTTAGTTGTCGTATTACAGTAAACAGATTAGGGCACATAAGGAGAATTTCTTAAAAATTGAATGATTACCCAATGATTGGATAACCCTAAACAAGTAGTTAGGTAATCCTGTGTATAATATACAGGCGGACAGTTTCCGGAAGAGATGAGTTGTGTGCCTTAATCATCACAACATAGGAACTGAGAGTACAACCGTCAGATTTAGTCAGTGAAAACTAGATTTTGATGCAGCAAGTAGGCCTGGAAAGTGAGCTTATGATTATGAGATAAAAGATATATTCCAGCGGACGATCCAAGAGGGGAAACAATTGCAAATCCTCTCCATGCAGGAACATATTTCTATTTTCCTCTTAAAATGTGTACTTTCAGCATGAGTCGCATAGAACAAACTAACTGAAATTGAACTCATAACTATGTAGACATAAAAAATAATTTATGTTAAGAAACTTCAATTAGAGAGTCAACCGTGTTTTGAGTTGGGTATTCAGTAATCAGTAAGTGAATGAAACTCTCTACTAGATCATAATAAAGTAGGACCAAGCCACAGGACAAGAATATTAACTTGGCTATAATAAACCGTGTTTTTTCAAGTTTTTGCTGATCCCTATAGCAGTGAACCAGTGCGCAATACAGGACAAGAATATTAAGAGATCAATAGGCGGAAATCAGTTATCACCCCAAAAGCCAAAAGGACCGAAGTGGAGATGATATGGATATATTCTTTAATGGGATCAGCCCCAAGCACCTGGAGGTCCTCGACTGAAGGAGGGCAAGTTTTTTTTTTTCTGAAGGAAAAGAGGAGGGTAAGTTCGGATTACCATTCTGGAGTCGTACATTGAAGCTGCAGAAAGGGAACCACAGTACTGGGAATTTGACGCTCCATCAGGTGGTCCAAACCGTCAAACTAAAATGCCCTTGTGTAAGTGTTCTACCTTTTCTCGTTCAGTAAAAAGAATGTAACACAAATTCTTTAGCTTTGTAAATGCCTATATCTTACCGTATGGAAGAAACTGAATCAGCTGCATCAAATATCTACCACTTCTTATAGCGAGTCAAACGCACAACTTCAAATTTATAGCGAGTCAAGTTCATTTACTAACCGTATAAAGGACTGGGGCATTATAAATAAGACAAAGTATAATTAGTTTAACCTACTGTTTATACTCATGACCAGTGTTTTAAAAGAAAAGCAGTTTTGTAGGATTGAATACAGCATCATACATTAAATACACCAACACCTACGATGGATTATTAAACGCGCAATCACATCGAGCCGCCTAACAGACAGTAAGATGACATCTTCATTGCGAGCATGAAAAATCTAGTAATGGCAGAATTCTAAAGTTCATGTCCCAGAGCCCTTCTTACCTTTTTCACCCCCTTCTTGATTTACCATGAGTTATTTTCCTCCAGTCTACTTCAAGGAAATGGCTGATCTTTGTGCAATCTTAATGGACGACTGATGAGTGCTAGCACTTACTAAGCATTACTAGACAGGCTACCAATCCCTACTTCTACCCTAGGCCCTTAAATACCATTCAGGAAAATGAATCTCTTTGCTTTAACAAATTGCCTATCAATGAACTAACAGTCATCAATAGCCAACAAATGGTGTTTAAACACAAATAACAAGGCATCTCTGAAAAGGAAGAAAGAAACATGGAGGAGATAAAAAAAAAAAGAGAACTTGCCACAAGGTCCAACTAGCTTAGATGCAGACAAACTTAAACGATAACTCATGTTGTGCCTAAAGGGGAATAAAGAACTATAGCTTGCTGAAAGACGCAAGATGGACAGAAAAAAAAATATTGCATACCGGTGCTTAAAGCTGCTTTAGCACATAGCTATCTAAGGAATGAAAAGTTAGAAGATAAAAAGGGAGAGGAGATTTTCACCTAAACATGCTCGAATAAACCTGATTGGATATAAACAAACTAGTAAAGCATGTGTTCCTTAGAAGAGTAGCCGTGCTAAACGTTCTTCAAGAAAATATGTTGCAAACTGCTCTACAGCTCTGCAGTTTCACTCCTCATTAGTTCTCCTATATCACCTGTCGCTTGTGAGGCCTTCTCTTTGGCAGCTTCATAGCTTCCCTTTGCATCCTTAGTCATGGTATCCTTGGCATTTAGATAGGTGTCGTGAACCTTTGACTTGGCACCTTCATAACGACCCACGACTTCATCTTTCATGCTCCCCATTGCATTATGCATTGCCTCTTTGCCATCGTTCGCCTTGTCTGATGCTTTATCTTTCAGCTTCTCTTTGGTGCTCGTAGCCAAATCTGAAGCCTCATCCATGGCCTGACCTATCTTATCAGAGTTGTAAGAATAAGCATTCTGTGCTTTATCTTTCCCAATTTCCTTGGCATTGCCTACCATGTCTGACATTTTATTCATTGCATCACCAGCTTTATCGGAGGCATAAGCATAGGCATTGTAAGCTTTATCTGTAGCTGCCTCTTTGGCTTCACTTCCCATTTCTGAAGCTTTATTCATGGCATTACCCACTTTCTCTGCAGAAAAATCATATGCATCGAGCATTTTTTCCTTTCCTCTCCCTTTTGCTTCATGGGCAATATCTGAAGCCACGTTCATGGCTTCACCGGCCTTATCAGAGGCAATATTGTAGGCATCATAAGCTCTTTCTTTCCCTAAATCTTTGGCATCACCTGCCATTTCTTGGGCATTATAAGCCTTATCAGATGCCATGTGCCTAGTTTGATCGGCCTTCTCTGAAGCAAAGTTTTTAGCATCTCTCATTTTCTCATAAGCGCTATCTGCCATGTCACCTGCCTTTTGAGAAGCATACTTTGATGTCTCTGCATACGGAAGGAAAAGTCATGTAATTTCGTGTTAAAGAGTTGTCATTTGATATCAGGGGACAAGAGAGTATTTACCTTCCGCTGCAGAATTCATGGCATCTGTGGACTTTGATGCAGCATCCTTGGCTTTATCTGCCATTCTTTGAACTGTATCTTTCGTGTTATCCTCATCCAACCCAAACCCCCTAAAGGAAATGTTAAAACCATATGATAACATGAACAGCATTGAGAACCATGCTAACCCTTTAAAAAGATCAGCTTTGCAAGAACACATCAAACAATAAATGGGCTGATGTCCAATAAGCATTTGCTCAACTAGTTACAACAAGCAGACACAAAAATGTTGATCTTGTTTACGGGTGCTACCCTTCTTTGGGATTGCCTTTATCGTAATGTTTGTACTGTACGTTTATGCTACCCTTCTTTAAGGGACTTAACCGACCCAAAAATATGTGTGGGAGCGTGCGTGCGTATGTGGTCTATTTGACATCCTTCCATCACCAATATGTTCATCTTCTCATTAAAAAAAAGGCAAAGAAAAAGGAGGGCCAAACTTCTCTTAAATTTCACTCTACCAAGGAACTTCAGAATACAAAAAGAAAAGGAATTGTGGCAACTACATCCAAGTATCCAGTGGCATGCCAATCACGGCACATTACGGAGTCAGGCCCAAGTTACAGCTTCACTTGCAATAAACATTTCACCGATCAACAAGATAACTCCCTCCTTTTTTCTTTTTCTTTTTTTTCTGATAGCAAGATAAATCTAAGTTTAAAATAAGACAAGGAAATTGGAAAAACTCACGCTTGGTTGCTTACCCCAAAAGTGGAAAAAAAAAAAAAAATTCACGCTTGGCACATACGTACGAAGCTAAAATTGGAATACTCACTCAGAGAACTTGCCAAGAGCCCAATCAGCCCAAGAGTCAGTCTTGTCCTTGGCATCTTGCATGGCCTCCGAAGCACTTTGCTTGGCCTCTTCGGCCTTGATCTTAATATTTCCAGTAGCCAAATTGGTTCTTTCTTTAGCATTTTCCATCGCCTCCTCACCCCAGCCCCAGCCCCAACACATGGGTGTTACTGCAGCCAGCCACAGTGCCAATAACACTGTTCCTTTTGCCATCGCTGATCTTTTTACCTTCTCTCGATCTTCTTTCAATTTCCTTGTACAAGAATTTCCTGCAAAGTAGAGTTAGGATCCAAATTTTGGAAGCAATTGATCTTAAAAGGAAGTTGGTGAAGTTATGATTCTTTTTGTTTTCATTAAACCAACAGCGAAGTGGGGAAGATATATATAGATAGATAGAAGTGAGAGAGGAGTTGTAGTAGCAGTAGTAGGATGAAACGTGGCGGTTAAGTAGGAATGCATGAGGACCAAGTTTCATTCCAGTTTTGCCACGTATTTATAAGCCAAGGGGTAGACCATTCCTTACCGTATTTTATGCTATTTCTTACAGTTCCACGGGATTTGCTCCTCTCCACACACCCACCGCCACTGACGGTCACTGGTGGCCGGAGAGGAGCCATGGCAGTTCGGAGTGTCTGGCCGGTTAAATTCAGAAAACTCGTAGTACCTTTACCGTAGAGAGAGAGAGAAAGGAACGTGCTCATTTCTGATTTTAAAAAACAAAAAAGTGGTCTCACAGATTTTCAACAATTTGTTTTTAATTTTTCTCCCCACGTATTGAGTGACAGGTTTTATTTACAGAAAAATCTTAAAATATTTATCTAAATACATTTATTCGGCAACCAACTTTTACTCAGCTATTCCATCCCAAGAAATTAATAAAATAGTATGTACGCACGCAGAAACAAGACAAGCGTAAGGGCGCAATGGAAATGAAGCCAAACCGCCGGCTCAACGAGGAGGATGAGGTCTACAGCAGCTAAACTCATTCTAAATGCAATGATCACTTTGCTATTTCTCACTACTATTTGGTAGGAGTACTAGTAAATTAATCATTAGTGGATAAACCAAAATTTGTATGTTGAAAAATTGTTCTCTCGCACTGGGATCTTAGTAACATCCGCCGCAACTCTATTCTACAAGAAATCAATTCTAGCTCTTATTCTGCAACTTTATCAGGTTCGCCGTCTCCGGCTGCAAGTTTAACCCGCTGGTGATGCTCAGCAACCTTGTAATTTACCATCTCCTTGAACAGCTGGGAATCCAAAACACAGTCTGGCCGCCCGTACACAGCAGCTTGAACGCTGGCCATGAGTTTTGCAATCTCACGGCCAGAGAAACCTTCAGTTTTTTTAGCAGCCTCTCGGATCACATCGTCCGATACATCTTTCACAGTTATTTTCTGCGCTCTCTTCTTAAACAAATGACCCCACTTAGACTCGTCTTCGCTTTGATCCTCACCACAAAGGTACTTGTTCAAATAAAGTTTCAGCAGTTTGCAGCGCTCCTCCTCCCGGGGGAGGGGGAATTCAATAACTTCGTCAATGCGGTCGGTGATGGCACTGTCAAGATCTCCGGGCCTGTTTGTTGCAAGTACAAGAACGATATCCCTTGACTGGTCCCCAGTTCGAAAGAGCAAAGCATTCAAAGCACTCCTCTGAGCTTCACTCATGTGAGTGCTATTGCGCCTGCAGCGTATTAAAGTTCCATAACACGAAAACTTGAGAAACTCGAACAAGGAATAAACGTGTCTGCTTTCCTACTAAAAGGAATGTCAACATGTTAAAAATTCTACAAGCTTGAAATGTTTTGTCATGAATAAAATCACTGCACTTGAAAGATTAACTTTAATAGATCCAAAAAAATGGCAGATTATTTGATTTAAGAAAGCGTTACGTTACTAATTTAACTTACTCGCAAAGGAAGGCATCAGCTTCATCGATGAAAAGCAATAAACCCTTATTTGACTTTTTGGCCCAATCAAAGATTTCATGGATTTTGGTAACAGCCTGTGGACCAAGCGGTGCAACATCTCCCCCTGTCATCATAGCATAATCCAAACCCTGCAGAAAACAGCCGAATGAATGAGAGCACGCCCATGCCTTTTTCTTCATAAGAATTTCCACAAACAAATCCAAAGAACAATTTCACATTTCTCATCAATAAGATCGCTGACTCTGTGCCATCATGCATAGGAATCTTCCCAGGCTCTCTTTTGCGCAAGAGAAACTATGGGTTTTTGTCAGCTACTTCGGTGAAAAGCAAGCGGTACACATGGCAAACTGTAAATTATACAAAACTACAAAAATAAAACCCAAAAATCGTATTTTTTCGCTATCAACATCGTAATAATTCGCATACACCATGGATCAATTTATTTTTGTCAAAGTGGTAGGCGGCGCTGGCGCCGGGAGGGTGTGGTGGTTGTCTTATTCAGGGAAAACTTAAAAAGCTCAAACATCTACGCAGTGGCCAACTGCAACACTGGTACGCCCATAATGACACGAATGAAAAATCAGGAAAAATTGGATGAATCATTTACCGATTTTCTTGCTATCTCCCTGGCGACCATGGTTTTACCCGTCCCAGGAGGTCCATAGAACAGCATGTTGCGGAAAGGGGCCTCATGAGATTTGGTGTTTGCTGTAGCCCGAGCAAGGTGCTCTACTCTTCTCTGCAATGAAGGATGCAGAACTATACCTCCCAAAGGTGATTTACTTTGTTCTCCAGCAACTGTACCATATTTGAATACCTTATTTACACCACCTGAAACTATCCCTGACCACGGGAATTTTGTGATGGATGATTCTCGAATTAGTGATGGTTGCCCAAGAATGCGATTGACATACCCCCAAATAACTCTTGCACCTTCCCTGAAATCACGGAACAGATTCAAGTGCAAATAAATAAGTATCCACTTACCTTTGATATCAATTCTGGCATTTCATGTAATCACTGCAAAATTGACATGAGGAAGAAATAAAACTGCACACATACAATTACCAAATTATGCCAAAAAATTCCATATCATGTATGATCTCTGGAATTTCTTAATAAATGACGGAATGACCACAATCACATTCCATGTAACATCATTTCAATTTAAAGTTTGTACACGCAAACACAAAACTTATCAACAAGTCAAAACTGCTCACAATCCCACATGTTGCATTTGGACAGGTAAATGACAAGAAATAATATCTTGCAAAATTCTATCAAGTGGTCAGAAAATGCTAACCTAGTGGTATAGACTCCAGCAGCTAATGCAGTAGCTCCTCCAATAGTCATTACCAATTTACTCCTATCAGTCAATAGAACACGAAAACCCCCTGCAGATTGACCCAAAAAAAATCATCAAATCTACAGGTTACAAGCTCAACAAGATGGATAAGTATATGGGCACGAGGATAAGAAAATGGCATTTGGTTAGATAGCACAAAAACTGCTTAAAGGCTATAGAGCTGATGCTTTAGATAGTATAATATTTAAAAAGTCAAAGAGACTACCTCAGCACAAATGTTAATTAAGGAGGGCAATTTGCCTTTATATTAAGGATCCCTAATAGTAAAGAACAACTGATATTCGAGCATTTGTTTAAGGGGATCAAATTTACAGGACAGTATCCAGCATGTGAGTTCATGAGTGAAATTTCTGGTGATCCTTTAGAGTGACAACTACAAGGAGCATTCATGACCATCCTTTCAATGCCAAGACCTTGAATTTGGATGATATTAGCACAACAAAGGAAGTCAGGGATTTCGGCGTCTTCATAAGAGAAACTGAAGTTATTTTCCAGTCACATGCAGAGACTGGGCGGGAGGGGTTGGGTTGGGGAAGGGCTACTACGCTTCAGTCACACTCTTAACCTCATAAATCTTCAAGTAACTAGCTACAGTTCAAGTCATCCATACCTTCGATATGACTGAAAGTCGTATTGATTGCAGCAAGCCACTTCTCTCTTTCACCGTTTATCCTGTCTATAAGCATCCTTCTCTTTTGTTCCTCAGTCAGTTTTGCCTCATGAGCTCGAGCTTCTGCCTCAGCCATGGCTTTCACTCTTATCGTTTCTCTTTCAATTTCAGCTCTCTCTTTTTCAGTCTGTCTCTGCTGAGCTTGGATTTGATCTTCGGTTGCTCTTCTTGCCTGTTCTTTTCGTATAGATGATTCCTCTTGCATTTTGACCAATTCAGCATTATGACGTCTCTGAGCTTCATGATCTGTCTGAAAGTATTAGAATAAAAAAAAATGAAAAATCACCAAACACTTCCAAAGACCTGAAACACCAAAAACAGGTGATTAAGTCATTTTATCCTTAATTAGATGATTGACTGCAAAGTCCATGATCATACTAAGTTTAGAGAATATAAATTAAGACACATATTTTGCCACTTAATGACCCAGAGTTATCACAAAACCATGAAATCGACAAAAATCAATCATTTGGATAGTCGTTTTCTTGCAAATTTTTATGGGAAAATTCTGTAAACAAGTTTTCCAACCACCTATTTATCTGACACAAGTCAAAATTCAAATTGTGCTACACCATTATTTTTCTAGCAATGCTTCTGAAAAGCACAATCAAAATGGAAACTCCAGCCAAACTCCTTGAGAATAAGTTAAAAAAGAATATAATGTCCACCTGCATCCGTTTCCTAGCCAAGTCATCTTCATATCTTAATACTTGCGCCTTTGTCTGAGCTTGCTGTTGATATAGATTCCTCTGATCTTCTGCCCATTTTCGTTGCTTGTCCTGCATGAACATATGTTTTAATGTTCAAGTTTAATGTTCAAGAAAGTGAACTTAGGAAAAATGTTGCTATAACAAATACAACTACATTTGATCCTCAAATGACTGTACACTCAACCCAGACATCAAAATAAGAAAACGTCAAGCAATCCAATTGAACTATTTTCAACTTCCAATCAAAGGAAAAAAAATGGTCCCGCTTGCAACGCCATTTCACATGAACATGAAGCCATAGCATGACAAGATGAAATCCATCCGTTCAGCAACCATAATTACGGCGAATTACAACTTTTCCACGGCGATCAATCAATAACCAAATCAATCAATTCTTAAGTTCTGCAAAGTCGAGTAATGCAACTAAAAAAAAAAGGAAAGAAAAGAAATCTTTTGGTAAAGTCAGAACTAACAATATCCGCGTGAGCCTGAATGGCCTCAAAATGAGCTTTTTCAGCCGCTAACTCTGCTTGCCTCGTCTGCTCTTGCTTCCTCATCACCTCAAACACCTTCATAAAAATTCTCAGCAAACAGAACAAATTAATTGAAAAGAAAACAATTTTCCCGCTAAAATAGGTTTACTAGCATACTAAAGAGCCGTACCTGTTTAGCATAAGGAGAGCTATTGATTTCCCTAAGAACTTTAGCACCTCTCTCCAATGACTCAGGGTCAAAACCACCTCTGGAGTCTTCTGCATCGGCGGTGGACTTGGAAGCGGGATCAGAAGAAGAACTCTCCGGTGTCTGAGGTGGAGATGGAGCAGAGCGGGAAGTGGAGAAGGGGGGAAAACGGAGGGGATTGTCGGCGTATGCAATATTGGAGACTGAAGAATAAGACGCCCCGGCGGCGGCGGCGACGGCCATCGCGGCCAGTGAAGATAGCCTAGAGCCGGCCATATTGGTGCCAGAGCTGGGATCTCTCTATTGTTTAGTTTAGGGTGCTGTTTCTCTGTTAAATCAACTTGTTCTTTCTTTCTCATCAAGCTAATTTCCCACTATTTTTTTAATTTTCTTTTTCTTTTTTTCTCCACTCTTCTCTTGATTTTTTTCTTTTTTTTTTTTTTGCAATTAGCTGACCAAGTACCTCAAATAATTCATTAGATTAGTTTAATTGAGCTATAGTGAACGATTCAAAAAAATTACTCGAGCCTAGATGCTAAAATCCTCGATTGAATTTTTATTAACAAACCAGTACTAGTTTTTGTCAATTGCCCAACAAATCTACATCAGCTTGTATTGTGCTTTAACCACCAACCAGTACATAGCTTAACGCATTTTCCATTAACTTGCATGAAATTTTACCAAATAGTAATATAGTTGCTATGATTTTAAGATGCAAAATTTCATATGTGTATTGCTGTCTAGATTTCTTTTTCTTTTTGACAAATACATACAAAATCGTTTTTGCTTGAATTGCCATTTTTTCTTCAAAAAATGTTTATGTTTGTCATTTTCAATTATCTTTTTAAGATATCTCACATGTATCGAAATGTTATAATACAGTTTTTTTTTTTTTTTACAAAATGTTATAATATAATTTTTTTTACAAAAACGTCAGAAAATAATAATCCAAACGGGTCTGTTAAATGAATAGACGCCTATCAAAGTGGGACGGAGCGAGTAATAATAATAAAGCTTTGATTTGGACTAGTGGCAGTCTAATTTTTGGTGGCGTTGACGGAAAATCAAAAGAGAGCGATGAAATGCGTTAGGCAGCATATACTACATAAACCCTGGTGTGGTGATTAACGCCTTAACGGTGGAAGACTTTAGGGTTTAAGCAGCAGGCAGCACCAGCTAGAGGGCGGTGACATCCGGCCTTATTTTAATTTGAGGTATTGGGCTTTCGTTTTGCCTAAAATAATAAATTAACCAGCCTTGCTTCCTAAATGGAGCACCTGGAATATTGGGCCGGGGGGCGGGAGGCGTGAAATGGATCTGGCTTCCTAAACGAGTTGTTCCCAATGGGATGGGCTCTATAACTTGGGAACGCCCATGGGCCTCTTTTTACCTTTTTTGGGTGCAGTTTATCGTTCCCCTGTTCGACACTTCGAATCTAAATATCTACTCAATGACGTAACTTCATTATTGGTTTATCATTTTATGCCTCAATGTTTACTTTACAGTTTACACCGTTGCCTCGCAAGTAATATTCTGCAAAGAGGATAGGTAGCAAGAACTGCTATCTCCTCATATATATAGGTACCTCAAGTTTCACTAAATCCAATAAAATTTGAACAGGATTGCGGCAGCTATAGTTACTGAATTTTACTTGATCATACAATGTTGCAGAACTCGAATTTACTTGACCAATATCAATTTGCTGAGAAAGAACAAGAAGATCCAGCACGCTTGTGTGCCGGATCAGGTAACAACAATGTACTCACCCAAATTTGAGAGTTCTAATAGCAATGCAAACTGTGCATTAATACACACATTACAAGCTGAATCAAGAAGGCTTCATTTTGTCTACAGCTGCATCTATTATTATTATTTTTTTATTTTTTATTTCTTTTACACTCATTTTCGCATTATAATTAATTCTTGGCATCCCTGAACCCTTCTAGACTCATGCTGATCGTTTTACCTTCAGCCTGGATAACTTGTAACCCAGAGTTTACTGCCCTGTTGCATATGAAAATTGGAGAAAGAAAAGTCAGACGAAAAAAAAAAGCAAGATCCGGTGAATGTGGCATTGCTGCCTACAAGTTTGATTGCAGCTGCGTAAGACACTCCAGGACAAATGTGATATCTAACTAAAGGTTACTTAGATATGGACAAGACGGGAATGAATGTAGGGTAGGGTCAGATAAAAGCCAGAAAAATGTATAAAGGTTTCATAGATGAAAAGAACCAATAGATAATTGTGTAGGGTCTGGTAGAGTATCCGGATTGGAGTTGAAAATGAGTGGCTTGCGGTTTGTACCCCACATGGAATGCTTTGAGTTTGAACTAGTTGGCATGGCATGTTATCCAAAATAAGAGCTCAGATTAGATCTCATGCGGGCAAATTTTTTAATCTTAAAAGTCCAGGATAAGAAACTGGATAGCCAGGCATTGCCTTCTTGGGATATGATTGGCAGTTTGGTGACAGGAATTGTTTTTATTATCTAACCAGGGAAATGATGATGCTTGAAAATAATAAAGTAAATTGAACCTTTCTGGTGTCAAATCCTCCAAGTCTAATGGAAATCTTGTTTAGGCATGTAATGATGTCACAATAACGAGTGTCCACTTTTGCAATCATGTAAAAGTTTTCACACTTCTAAGGCTTTTTGACCATACAGACATTCTGTATGAAGGATGCTTCCTGCATTGCTTATAGATTTTGCATGGAAATCTGAGAAATCTGTCTGCACGTTTAAGGTTATGATTCTTCATTTTTGGAATGGGGTAAAAGAACTAAATTTACGTACCTGAGTTTGCATCCTCTGGCTTGATGTCTCAGCGTTTGTTTCTGCCTGACCTGTAATTTGGAAATGGAACATTGCCAGACTCGATGTGCTTGAGGTCTTCCACAAGGATTTGATAGTGCCTTTTCACTTCCTCCTCAGTTTTCCCTACCGCCCTAGCCACATTTTGCCAACGGTCTGCGGTATCCTTGTCATATTTAGCAAGGGCCTTTTCAAACAATTTATTTTCTTTGGCTGTCCATGAAGAGGAAGAAGAGAGGGAATTTGATGCCATTGCTTGCCCAAGCTTCAAGTATGGCTATTAAATGCAAAGCTGGAAAGTTGAAGCTAGAATGTATGTGTTGGGAGCTGGATGAATCTTGCAAAAAGAAACACGAGAGAGAGGAGGTTTTTTCTGGTCAAGAAATAGACTTGACGTCAAGGGAAGTTATGGAGAACCGTTTCCAAGTGAGCTGTTTATAAGCTAGAGGAAAGGTACGTGGTGGGGCTTTGCAATTGGAGAATATATTTTGCAAAAGCGAGAATAAGGAGTGACCCGTCCACTCTAGAAACCACAAAATATAGAGAGAGAGAGAGAGGAAGAAAGAATCAGTATCAAGGGACATACTGTGCCTTATGTAGTCATTACCATTGATTTGGATCCTTAAGGTCCAGACAAAAAGGCACAAAAATCTGAATTCTTATTACTTTCCTGATTTACTGACAGCAGGATTAGGTATAAGCAAATTATACACTGGTAGTCTAGTAGGCTGCAGTTAAACAACTATGATTCTTCATTGTATTAAACTGTAATTGATAATCCTTTTGCTTCTGATTCAGCAGAAGTACTTTCTTTTTATACTAGTGTCTCAGTCTACATGTCTAAGCCGCTCACAACCGTATTGGGATTGACAGATGATCAATGGTATTAGGCTGTAGATACTACTACATAAGCCAGATTTGTCCCTTAAAAAATTGGTTGTTTATCTGCACTAAAATTCACTACTATACTGTGATTGATCTTTTATCTGAACTTTTGTTCCACTTGACCCAAGGGAAATTGGTGAAAGTGAATGTTAAATTGAGGCTTAATAGCAGCAATTTTGAGCAATGCACTGTTTTCGGATTCTTGCCAGTTCGCAGCTTAAGAAACAATCTCGTTAGCTGCTGCAGACTCAGAGTCATGGCCTCAGAATGCTCTGCTGACCATGCGTTAAGACGCTTAGTTATTTGCTTTATGTGATTTGACGAAGAGTAGATGAAGGAATCAATGCTTTGCCAAAGTCCTGTGCACTTTTACCTCGTGACCTCAAGTATGATGACATCTAAAGGGCATTTCTTTCAAGTATTTGCTAAGTTCAGCGCGAATATAAAAGATTAAGGATGCGTTTGATAAAACCAAAATCTGAAGTCTAAATCCAGTAAGTTATTGAATTGTTAAGTATTAAATCTAATACATTTGAGTGCATATTACATTCAGTCATAAGTGAATAGTTTATCACTAAATTTTGAGAGCAAGTTTTGTCTAGGAAATTTAATGACACTTAATTAATTCAGATGTTCAATTTTTAATTATCAAATCGTCTGAATATGTTAAGATCTGAATCCATTAAATTTAAGTGCGGAATTGAGTTATCAAACACGGCCTAAGTTGGTTACCCAAATTAGATGCTTTACCTATCATGAGATTATTATGATCTTTTAGTTCATTTGGAAGCAACATACTTAGGCTCCAACATGACAGATGTGAACTGAAAATCATCATATTTTGGCTCATCAAACAAAGAAAAGGACTAACAGCTGCTTTTGCTTGTCTGTCAGCGTTTCTTTTTTTTGGTCACTTTTGTTGATAGCCATGATGAAATAACACTCCTGCAGTCACAAGTTGCAGCTATGTATCTGGAATATATTAAAAAGTGATACATTCCTCAGTCGTGAGAATAGTTTTGACAAAATTAGGCTTCTCATAACTCATTCAGTTCGAACATGCGTGGCTTGATATCTTGATATCTATGTCTGAGTTTGCTAGCAGAACACTAGGCCAAATGCGTTGACATTCAAATCCAGCTACAATTTATCTTTAAGCAAAATGATCCGTTGGAGCCCTAGAGTATTGGACAATCAATAACACCTAAGCAAAATTTTTAGATTCATACATGCACTAGGTTCCATATAAGAAAAATTTAGCCTATTTCATGGAGGTGAGTGCGGGTCAGCGACTACTTGTCCTTCACTTAGTTTTTTTAGAATTAGTTCATATGCCAAACTTGTTTATCTTTGCACCTCGGCATGTGCCAATTGCTGTGTGTTTTGATGTTGTAAGTAGTTCTTGATACAGAAAAGAGATCAAGTTTCCGATTTTAACACTGGTTGTACATGTCAGTGTCTAACTGTAAGTCAGAATTTTACATAAATAACTTGACGACAGTTCGCTCGCTCTGCATTCTGTTTTGAAGACATTGGAGAAGAATGTTTGACCATTGGACTGGATCACTGGATTTCTTAGAATTAAGCTTCAGCCTTGTGCTATTTTCTAGAGTTTTGTAGAATAATATACTGTAACAATTTGATGTATATGAGGTAAAAATGTGTCAACAAAAGGCGTAAAAATTTTTGGGCCAAACTGGCTTTCCAAACAAGGCAGCACAAGCACAAATACCCGGTCAGGTCCAGTTCAATCCACTGCCGGATGTCATGGTGACAACATCCAAATGAACATGAAGGATCGTTGAGTTGTTTGCTTAGGCTTGGCTCCTCTCTTAAAGGAAAAGTTAGTTGTTTATTCAGCACTCAATCGGAAGAAATGAAAATGCAAATATAAATCGTAAAGGGAAGATGCTTAATGCTGCAGAAACTTCGATTCCCTAGCCACGGAGTGGGAGGCAAGATAAGGGTAAGAAACTATCAACTGACAACCATGGTTCAAAGTCACGGTCGAGGCCCGGACCGTTCCACATCAGTTTCGGCATATCGATCGCGATTTCGACGAGACGCGAATTTTTGAAATATTTAATATTCTAAAAATTACAAAAAATATGATAAATAAAGATAATTAAAAAATTAGTAACAATAATAAAAATTCAAGTTGACTCGGATGATTTGAAGTGATTAGGCCATTTCAATCCTTTACGGTAACGTTTCGGTGAGTCAAGTATCTCGGAATTATATCGTTTCGATATCGTATCGCGAGAGCCCGAGACGGTGACGACTCGGCCGAGTCTTTGAACCATGATCAACATTCCTTTCAGGTCTTCTTGCTTTCTTGTTTTCTCTTTCCAGTACCCAATGATTATAAGTCGGCTTAAGGCAGGGGAATTGCAAGAAGTTTTCTGCTTTTGTGATGTGTATATGAAGACTTTGTACGGAGTGTACTATTGGAATTCGGAGCAGTAAGATGTTGCAGCTGATGGTTAGTATAACATATTCATTCTGTTTTTTTTTTTTTTTTTTTTTTTTTATCTGCCATGATTCTGATGATCGTGTGCGGACGAAAATGGATTGCTTATTCTCCTTCAAGTTGATGTAACGTGTTGGAATATATGGTGAACCTCATTTGCTTAGGAAGCAAGTTGGCTGCGAGCACCAAATCTTCCCCAAGTGGAAGCACTATGTAGTCTGTTCTTCATCACGGGAATCCTAACAGTTATCTGGATTATGTAGCAAAAAGTAACCACGAATTTGTATCTGCTTCCGACCAAACAAGTCATTAAAGGCCGAAACTTTAGTTAGTGGAAGCACAATTTTATTGTTCTTCACCACTAAAATCACCATTCACTACCGAGTACCTTATTAAGTAAAAGAATCTAACAGACTACATCTGTTTCTGTTATTTACAGAATAAGTTCATGGCAGGGACCAAGGCTTTTGCTGGTGGAAGCACAATCCTCTTGTTGTCCATTTTCCGTGTGCCTAATAGGTGGATTTTTACGTCACAATGTATAGCTGAGAATTGATTTGGCTGCTTAATTGTTGCAGAAGTTGATTCCAGGCACCAAACTTTTTACTAGTGGACCACCACCTTGCACTAACTGGGGTTGCCAAACCAATATCTGGGCTGAGTACTTCGGAAAAATAGTAGTAACATTCAGTATCAAATGAATGTGTCGTGCTCTCTGCCTGGATGCAAATTCATTGTAACAGATGTCCGAGTAATGCATGGTTCTTAAGAAATCCGAATCAGTGATTTAATGAACTACTATTACAAGAGAGCCATCTTTTCGTTTCAGACAAAACGTAACAGTGGATTAGATGGTGGATAAAGGACAAGAAAGACTTTGCTGGAGTAAACAGATTGTATGGTGTGTGGGGGTCCTTAGGATGTTGCATCATCATTCTGCGGGGTTGGAATCCTTATCACATCTTTGCCTGCTAAAGTAGCGCCCCAGGATTCCCTTTGTCCCTTTTCCCCTAGATAAAAGTTATGCTCCTTACTTGTTTATGCAGGCACTAAAAGATTTGCCATGAAATAAATCTGGATTTGTTATTTGGAAGAATCGTCTAAAATGATTTGCCGTTGAGTAATTAATGACTTGCCCACTCTCACCGGTGTTTTAGTGGGTTACTAATCTTAGAAGAATGATCAATTTCAAGTTATGTTTTTTTGATGTTAGTGCAGATCAAACGAATTTGATATAAAGAAAAAAAAAATGGAAAGAAAGAAAACAGTGGAATGTAATTGAAGGAATCATATAAATTTGCTTTGCTGCTTTTAAATTTCACCTGTTCTTCTGCAGCCTCAGATTCTCATTTATATTACAACAGAAATGTATCAACGTTTCTGGATCATTGCAGTTCGTGAGCTTCATGGGAGGCCAGTTTTGGAATCTTTGTCGGATGCAACGCAGACCGCTCCAAACTTTCAATAGCTGCCCACTCCAGCCCAGCCCGCTTGAAACCTGACCCCAATTTCTCAAGAAATACGCATCTCCGGTGATCATTTTGGATAGCATGACTTGAAAAATACTACACATGAAAGAATCCGAGTCAATACCATGCAAAAAATAAAACTACTAATTCACAGGAATGATATTATTATTATCATTTTGCAAAAATCAGACTCCTGGGAAAGATGCTCATCTCATAAATACGAAGCCTAGCATGCTACAAGCTTCCTTGCTTCACTGAGCTTCAGCCGGAAAAGCATATACATGCATTTGGAACTTATTTTGATGCTCATCTCTGATAAGAGTAATTGACTTGGATGGAACCATGCACAACATTCCCGTCATCTTCATGGCCCTGTTGATTGTAAGGCCAAATTTGTAGTAATCAGATTCGTTAGATCTGCATTATTCGAGCAGGCAGAAGCAGATGCAGTGCCGAAGCCACTGTAATAACTAATTAAACATATTTAAAGCTATTGATTCCGAAGTGGGGCTTAGTTTGAAGCTTTCGGCGTCCGTAATAAGCTTTTGAAGCAGCTTGGGGCTTAGTTTCACGCACTTGACTTGATCGTATCTACTCTTAGCTTGTTTTTGCTATGTTCTACAGAAGATGACATCAAATCAAGATT